TAGGGGAGCGACTTAGTTCGATTTCGTCATCCTGAAAACGAAAAAAAAAAAGCACCATGAAATGCGCTGTATATATAAGGGCCGAAGATAATGAGGTGTTTTTGGCTTAGAATTGCCGAAGTGCGCATGACCGAGGCTATTCCTAAGCCTTAGAAGATGGAGACAAACTCGTAGAACTACAAATTTAGGGTTATGTTAAAAATGACCACAAGTTGAGGAGAACTACCTACTATCAAGATATCTAATTTAATTATGGAATACAATAACGAAAAAACAATTTTCCAGAAATATGGTCGATATTTTGAGTTTGGTCGGCGGGTCATTGCTGAATAGTTGTGATATAGTGAAAATACTGCTTTCTATATTTGTGCTAGTTGTAATGCCCTTACCTTTCCACTGATAAGAGTCTGAAAATGAATAAGAAAAAATAAAAATGTAGTAAACATAATACAGAATTAGACCGCTTCAAATTTTCGATCGAAAGCAACAGACTGACATATAGTCGTCAGTGATCAGGTACGCATGTATTTTATCGTATTGAACGGTGCACATTCCATAGACGAGTATTTATACGCATGCGTAGTAATACCATTCGCCACACTTGTATACTTACTGCAAACTCGCCAAACGCCATATGAAATAAACTCATCCAGGTGCCATAGACCGTATCGAATGTAAATACGTAAACTCCGATGTCTTTAAAGAGGAAGTAAAACGCTGAAACGCACAAATTTAGTAACATTACAATTCATCTGACTCATGGTTGTAATGCAATGATCTGAATGTTATGGTGTTCAAGACGAGATCAAATGTTGTCGCTCTGAGCATCTCTGAAGTGTCATGCAACTACATACCCTAAGATATTATTGTATAATAGCAGCTTACTCTGGAAATTCAATAAATTATTTTAATTTAATAATGCGATAAATTATAACCCTGTGGATACGCAAAATAACTAAGAACGCATTGTTTCACTGGTAAATTGGTAAAATTGAAACTCAGTGAGTATACTCTAAAAATCAAAATCACCACGGAAACAAAAATGTTTATTTTTTTTTGTCATTTTTCCTTTACATTTCGTGCTTTTGTTTCTCGGAAATTTTACCCATTTTTGAGCCATGGCGTTTCCAAATTGTAATCTCCACCTACGTAATACTCGAACTAATGACGTAACGGTACACTTACCTGGGGAAAACGAGGACAATATAGTAATGGTGATAAGACTGAAACGAAACAAGTCTCCGGCAATCATCTTATAGATCATGGTCACAAACGGTCCTAGACTTTCCAGAACCCTGTCAACATAAAACGAAAGTGTGTGAAAAAAGGACCTTTAATTTTTCTTGATGCTGCCACTCGTTATTATTTGGGAGAGAAACTTGAAATGGGTTTCATGATTTATTAAAACAATTTAGTTCGCTCCATTGTCGCCCTCATGCGTTTCAGATTTCCGCAAGGTCAGCATACTCTGACATGTAAACCATGCTTTTTATCACACTCATTTTGTGTGACCATTTATTTCATATGGTATTCCTGACGCCCTTCAATGTCCCCATAATGGCAAACAACTTGACCCGGGGCAAGTAACTCATACAACTTACAACAATTACAATTCACATACTTATGTATTACGCCATTTTATCTATGTTATCATTAACCAGAACAAAATCGCCACAGCCTCCTTGCTGCGCCGCGTCGTGTTCGACACGGGTCTCATGTGACGTTTACAGTTTAACGCATTATTTGTTAGCACTGAATTCAAACGCTTTGCACGAAGACAATGACTGGGGCACTTTATCGGAATGCCCAAGCCCAGGTACATGCATAGTAATACGTAATATCATATTTACCTGTAAAAGAAGAGTATATATGTCCATGCTAGAGGAACTGCAGCTATTACCAACATATCCTCAATGTATCGTTTATCCAGGAATCGCATTGGTACGCACAATAATATCAAGACACAGGAGAATAGGAAGAGGCCCTTGGCTGGAACGTTACGCTATTAAAAACACGTTAAGTATCTGATTAGTATGTGATTATATAGTGTGTGCATACTACATGACTTGGTAATATCAGACGGAACCTGATTGTGATCATTTGGAAATAATGTGTATTCCTTCGCATAATAAAAACAAAAGAATGAAAGTGCGTAGAACCGCCACAAGAGGGCATAGTGTACTACGGTCGACTGTACCTGTAATGTGGTACACATTAAATTTACACATCACAAAATAAACCGTTTGCACACCAATCAACTACACCACATATCTCGTTTGAGTATATATCGATAGGAAATGATTTCTTTAAATCTACGCATGCTGGCATCAGAGGGCGTACTTACCATCGTACTAAAGTAACCCAATTTAACGGTTTTAATGTGGAAAAATTCGAGACCTAGATAGATTAAACAACCAATCGTTGTCAAAGCTTCGGCGACGTATCGAACCTGTAAAATACGTAACATAGAGTCAAATACATTGAACTGCGCATGCACTTCTAAATAGCCCTACTTATAAGCGCATGCGCAAATGTACGATGATGCCTTTATTAAACAAACGAGGACGACTTGTCAACAACATAGATCGCACATATGGTTAACATATGGTAACTAGTCAATTCAAGGTAAAAATGAAAATATCACAGATTTATTTATTTTTTGCACTAAATTGTACTTCTGGTCGATGTACGGATATTGACTGTTCGGGACCACCAGCCCATTTTTCTAAACTGGTGATTATACTTCAATAATGTTGTCAATATTATAATGTTTCAATCATTGGTATAAATGATGAAGTTATTGACCAATATCTCAATTTGGTGACACAATGTAGATAACTTATTATATATCGTGACTGGGTACATTTCGTTATCCTGGATTACTTAAAAAATCTGCGTTCCAAAAAAATCATACATGTCAGTTTACGTTAACATTGTGTAACAAGGCTGTTCTAAAAAATAATAGCATTTTTTAATAATATTCAGCCATTTTACGGTATGTACCGTAACACAAAAAAGAACGACGTTTCATGTCATCATTAAAAACAATAGTTTCATGCATAATACGATTTATGACCAACTATTATGAATTCGGTTCAATCTTACGAAGAGTATTATTGGTCGGGTCACGTGTCAACTTACAATACTCTTGACGTCAGTTCCACCAATCAAGTCTCCAGCAGGTCTGGTATATATGGCAACGCTTAATGTTAGTAGGTATATGATAGCGAAGGTAAGACGAATTGTAAATTGTCTCTGAAAATAAATTAAACATAAATAGCGACGCGTTAGTAATATATGTTTGTCAAATTTATATGTTTGTCGAATTAGATGATTTTTGAGGAGAAAAACTCCCCCAATATGTCACTATAAAAAGAGCCCGTGCAATATTTCAAAGGTGAGAAATTTATACATTTGGGGTTATGTTTTCCTACGACGCGTACCAAAGATAGTTTACTTGTCAGGGGCAGTAACAAAGTGCTGAGTTTAGGTACAATGTATAACAAGGAGCCTCAGGGTGGATTATATCTGATTTAGAAAAGTCAACCGACTATTACACCTAAAACACAGTGTTAACCAAAGCGCAAAAATGTGGAGTTTATTTGTTACATATGAACAACTTGAATTGTGGGTTTATCTAAATAAAATAGACACAACAAACCACGTGTTGAGTTTACTATAAGTAACAACAGTTTTGTTTGATTTACTTGTGAAAGCAAGCACAAGTTCGAGATTTTCTACGCATCCATTGACTGTTAACTAACCTTTGCAAACACCCGCCACTTCTCCAGCAACAGCAGATGTATCACTCCGCCGTCTAACATTGGGAGATGTTCGTCCTTGTTACTACCGACTATAATTGATAAGGCCGAGTCCCAGTCTGAACCAGTAAAAAGGAGAAGCTAATCTTAAAGCTAAACTTAAAATCCAAATGAAGTTAATTTATGAATAAATATAAATACATGTAGGTGTACATTGCACACACACATATAGTTGTTTCAAACAAAACTGAACCGTTATTGACATTTACTCACCGTGATCGCCATTTGATTTTATGCTGTCTATGTTGTCTAGTGGGTACGCAACGCAGTGAAAATTACTGAATTTCCAAAAGGTCGTACTATTCACTTCTAAGATCTGCTGAAATAGTTTGTTCCTACCCAGTTTACACGCCAAACCAAGCGGGGTTAACCCTGACACGTTTCGGATTTCCGGATCAGCGCGCTCCAAGACCAGTTTGTACATTTCCTAATATTAATATACATGATCATTTTGTCATTATTGCAATCATTGTATGTTACAATAATGGGGGAGATATAATTTGGATAATAATTTCACATTAATATATTCATGAACTTTAATTAGTGTAGTTATTAATTAGCCACTGACTGTAATACAAACATTACGACTCCTATGCACAGATTTACAAAAACAAATTTGGCCAACACCTTGTGCCACAACAGTGTTTGTGTGTCGCCGATGGGCTGTATTGGGTTACAGTGCAGTCACGGTACATTTCAACATTGTACCAAGCAAGACAAAACGTCTTTTCTTATATGAAAGAGTTATATTAGAGTTATGCGATTACTTCCGGGTGTGTCAGTTGTATTGACACGCAGCGTTCGAATTTGTTGCCAGCCTGGCATAGTCGGAGTAAGTGTCAGCGCCTCCCACGACAGACTCACATTAGTGGTTGTGTCGACGAGGGCGCTGCAACATATGCGGACCTTCACGTCACACAGTAATTTTCGAACCTAACATTATTTCTCCTTTGTATAAACTGAATACTTACCGGCTTATTATGAATTACCAGCATATGCAGTGCGGTGTTTCCGAATGAGTCTTGGGCATTGGGATCTACTAGACCAGTTAACGGATTACTTTTTTCTAACAAGTACGTGTAAATATCTTCATTAGCTACGGAAGCGGCGAAGTGAAGGGGATATTCTCCATAATAGGCATACCCAAAATAATCAATGTCTTTACCCTTCGCCGATCCATCTTTATGAGCCTCCGGAAGAAAGAAACGTCCGGACGCACGTTGATCTAGACGAGCACCCTTTTCCACAAGAAATTTTACTGACTCTAGGTCCTGGTTAACGATTGCGAGGTGAAGACACGATTCCCCTGTCAGTAAAAAAAAATAAACTTAACACGACTTGGACAACTGTGAACTTATTTATTGAACATGAAGCTAAAAAAATGCTTTGAAATCGATCAAGTCGCAAATTAATAAATAAATCAATTACACTAACCGTAATATTCGTATCCTTCATAAATATCCAATACCATTTTCGGATATTTTTCAATTAACACCTTGGCCAGCTCTTTGTGAATGTCCGAGTTATTCAAATAACATAGATGAAGGATCGTCTCGCCGACACCTCCACGATTATCCAGATCAAAACACGCTTCATGCTCCTGAAACTTGTTACGAAATTGCCCTTCTTGTCTTTTGTCGAACTCTTCTCCGAGTTGCTTGGCTTTCTCGTCTGTCCATATTGTCTGAATCAATTAAAACGACCTCTAAGATTTACATTGATCCGCTGACATTACAGCGATAATGCGCGCTACCATATATGTGTTCACTTTGGGCGGAGCTTGTGTATTATGCGTAGTAAGTGATCACATCAAATTTCAAAATGTGATAATTTTTACCGATCTATTATGCAGTTTAGTGGCATGACCTTCAATGAGGTCACACATCCTGGGACGTTTATTTCTCAATTATTGTATCAAAAAATGCAATGTTTTAACGTGATAAAAGTTGTAAAACAGAATATTTCTGTTTCATAGCAGAATCTGAATATCAATTGTTTCAGTTAGCGCCCTTGATTGGCAAAAACACAGAGTAAATACAAAACAAACAAGCAAACACATGAAACAAATCAACAACACATAACTTCTATATACTATTACTTCAGATTTTAAGCGGCCAGTCGAATCAATTCAATCATGCATTCAGTTTGGCAACATTTCTTGAAATACGGAAACCAGGGGAAGTGTTATCGTTAAAAGGAATACAGGTTTTAATCGACCGTTTATCATGAGTTAAGTGGTCAACAGGTGGTTGGCCGCCCTCATGCCACGTGACGTATACTCACCGCAACTTGTTTGGCGCACATTTTTAAATACATTACATACTCTGTCTTAGTGATGAGATGGGTATCTTCGCCGCCGTTATACAGATACGGAGGAAGCTCCTTAGCTGCAATCTCCTTGAAACTTTCTAGATCGTTCCTTTCCCTCATTTCTTTGAATGTTTCGAGGAGGGTACCCCCGTTTTGTAAATTAATTATCTTGTACATGCTTTTTTCTGATTGGGCCTTGTTCTGTTTCTGCCACGCAGTGTCAGGATCTTCGTCCTCCAGCTCTTTGTGTCCACACACACGGTTGCCCATGGTTACGATTGATAAAAAAATTGCTCGTTAATTGTCACCGTAACCTGTAAGCCAAAAAAACGTTATTTTAATTATTTATTGCGGTTATTTCTTTAAAAAGACATTAAAAACGGGATACGGTGATGTTGTTTGGAACTGTCGTCCAATGAACGGAAATAGTAATAACAGACGTGAGTGACTGGAAGCTCAGTGGACTTGTGTATAGTAAGGCAACCGAAGTGCCTCACAGCATGGCATTTCATAAAACCATTTTTACAAGTCATTTACTAATACATTTTAAAAATGAATTTTAAAAATATAAACATATTTTAAAAACGAAAATGAATGTTAAACATGAAAATGGGTTTTAAAAACGAATATGGATTTTAAAAATGAAAATGGATTTTAAAAAATGAACTTGAAAATAGACTTTTAAAAACGAAAGAATGTTTTACAATGGATTCCAGAACCGAAAATGGATATTAAAAAATGATTATAAAATAAAAATGAATTTTCAAAATATTAATGAATTGTAAAAATGATTTTATAAAATGCTATGTTGTGAGCCATCTCGGTTGCCGTAGTACAATGAAGTTTTTTTTTTTCTTTCAAAGTTGTACTCAGCTGAACCCGCTGACCCAAACAAAATGGTGCCAGTGACGTTTTCTTGTGTTGGTACTTTTTAGTGTCAGTAGTAGTGCAATAAACTGCTACAGGCCACTGATGATGTCCTTTCCACCACCGCCGTGATTGCTGACACCGTGGTCACCTGAAACAGTTCTGTTAACGGGGTATGAGCGCAATAACAGTTGGCACCGTGGACCGTCTTTAAACACGGTGTGACTGACCTCAGGACTCGCCCGAAACATATTACAACTGAGCATTGTCCTCATGGTCTTGTGTTACAGAATTAACTTACTAGTATTTGACAATAGAAAACACAGCAATATTGGTAATATGCTACCAAGGTGTGTGTCCTTCACCAAATACTTTATATTGATGGGGTATATACTCTTCCGATTGTCGAAATCGTCGAATATATGCCGTGTGTTATTTCTTGGTCTATCTTTGAGTTATATAAGTGCGTTATATCTGTCACACTCACCTTAAATCCTGTCACATACCGTGATTTAGGTGTTGTCTAATCTCCGTCAAAGTGACGGCGTTACACACTCTTTTGTTATTGAGGTTCTCACTTATCGCGACGAGGAGAGCGCGTGGCGTATCGGTATATGCCAATCGTAGGTAACGGAACTACTATCTCCAAATCACTTTCGTTTCTAGTTGAAGAAAACACACCAATTGACACAGACGATGCAAGCGGAGCCTAATTAACATAAAAAAGAATCAGAGTTTCACCAATTAAATGGCACAGTTCCTTTTATATCGAGTAAGATCTTTGCCCCTAGATCATCAACGACTGTTCCATGACAGTATTACCACAATTGTTCGGCGTTAATCACGACACGGTTTCGCAAAACATAGATCAGCATTCAAGTACACAGATTAACGGCGGCGGTATTCACTGTTGTCGCTCGGCAAATATGGTAACGTAGTACACAATTCATAGCATTCAAGTACTATTGTCAGCTTTTGGGCGTTTACATTTGCAACCGTTTTAAGCAGATGTGTTTTTTGAATGAGCCACACAATAAGAAACCTTATCAACCGCACATATATATTACGAGTATTTATAGTATGATTTTTAAAAAAACAAACAGAGATATCTACTCTGGATTTACATTTTGAGCTTTCTTACCTGCTGTTCAAAATGGAATCGTTTGTCGAAGTCGTTGGGGAAAGTTGTCTAGCGCCCTCATTGACGAATAAAGAAATTGCAAACCTTGACCTCAATGACAAAGGCTGTGTCACATACGCGGCGATTTTAACCATGGCCGATCATACTTATATAATGCAACAATTTAAGACTGTTCCGAGAAAGTATAAAAGTAGTATCCCTAAACTACAAAACAAAAATAACAGCAATGATACACAGAAAGTGTACACAGGCATTAAATTATAAAGTTTAGTACAAATCACAAAATTCATTTATTAAATGAAAATACACATTAGAATTATACTACATGAATGGAAATAATCTTCCATTTCTTCTGTAAAAATCACGCGTTTTTTTTTTTTCAACTGATGTTTTTAGTTTCGTGTGTCAGTCATTCATTATTTGATCCAATTTTGCCCAGTTGCTCATATTCTTAATGTATGTGGATTTTTTGACTCGGATTTGTATTTGTTCTTCAATGTAGTGCTTGCTACGAGTATCATTGTACAAATCTTCTATTCAATGCGACACGACGGATTCTTCGAGTTAAGCTTTGTGGGTTTATTCCACAAATTATAATTCTGGTGTGGGTGACAAGTTTATTATCGTGATCTTGAATATGCACAACAATTTCAAATTAAGTAGTGACTATGTATCTGCTACATACAAAACTGACCATGTTGCGGGTAACACAGGTAAACGACAAGGGTGTCCATTGTGTGCAGCTTTATTTGTATGTAACTTATTCCAGAATGATTTGCCAAATCATGAACAAATCTACTTTTTACTCATCACTTGATAATGAAGCAGTCGCAGCTTTATTAAACGCCGACGATTCACACACAAAATATGGCCTCAGATACGCACTCCTATGTGTACAAGAAGTTAATATAAAGAATTAAAACTAGCAGGCAATATCTCGAAAAAGAAAAAGAAATAAATATAAACGAAAAATTGCGCCTTAATATTGAACAAGGAGTTAAAGATAGTCAACACATTTGAGTAATTTGGCTTTACAATAACGAATGGTGATTGGTCTGGAATCAAAATAATTTCACTGCTTGAATCAACAATTCATTGTTTATAAAGAGACGCAGGTGAGAACGCCGTGACTTGTATTCAGTTCAGTAAAACCAACTTGTCTTTATGGCAGTGAGGAATTACGCAGAATGCAAATACTAGTAATGTTGTAAAATTACTAAAAAAGATAATTACTATTTAAAATGTTGTTAGATTTTAATGGGTGTAAATATTGCTTTTAAAAGTGAAGATGTACGTTCTACAACCGGAGATGTGTTTTTTTTCTATTTTGAGCAAGGGCAAAAATTACACTGCAACATAACATTATTTAAATTTGCATTTCAAAGTATTTCTTATTTAAAACAGAAGGATACTAGTGTATTCACAATAATTAATTTAAAATGTTAAAGCACAGCTTATTATGAAAATCTCTGGGAAACTGACAATATACATTCAAAACAAATGAAAATGATATAATTTACGACAAGAAATGGACTTATACAATTAAAAACGGTGACACATTGAAAACAATGCGAACGCTATCAACAAATTAAATGGTATAAATGAGAGAACTACTTGACCACAGTAACATGTAACATTATTCACAAACCAAGGATCTACGGTCTTACGGTCTACCAATTGAAAAGGATCATTGCTAGAAGCGGCAGCCCACCCAATTGTATTTTTACTAGTGACAAAAAAGGTGATGAAGTCAATTATACTCTGAATTGCATAAAACATAAAATAAAGAATTGTAACTTGAAGAAGATATTTTTAATATCCAAAAATTGTCAAATTAAATAATCAATATAAGTTTATTTATTTATTTACTCAAGTTCCTAATGGTGTTGAATAAATATCACTGTAATAAGTCCAATAACATGCGCGGTTTAAATGATTCAATTATGCTGTGGGAAAATTAAAGATGGTGGTTGTCTTTGTGAACTGCCGCGTGCACGGCGTATCACCACACGGGAAAGTATTAGAGCGCCCTCATCGACAATTGAGGAACTATGCATGTCTTGACCTCATATGTACATTGTCGCTTTCAAGCTTATTTTAACATGCATGGCGTGTGATAAATGTGCTCCGCGACTGTTTACGACTTGTTTCACAGCTACATCATAAAAGTGCCAATATCCAGGGATTGTCCCTTTGGCACGATCGTTTCATATCCGTAAGCAAACTATTTTCAATATTGACGGACTGTTTTTCCCGTTAGTTAAAAACCATGTGTTCGTCGCCAATTTTGTTGCAATTGTTTGGGATGTTTTGTGTAATCATGGCAGAATCTCCAGCACACTTAACGATTGATTTGGGCGAAGAAAGTGGACCGTTCGAGGTTCAGTGCGACTCTTTTAAGTATTTTACAGTTGAAGTGACGGAGCCCTGTATGGATCTCAGAGTTCAGGTAAACGAGCATATTTTGCCAATGAATTTCAATGTGCTACTAAATAGCTATAGTTTCAGTTATGTGGGTGTTGATTTTGGGCATGACGAGCGAGGTAACGAACCACATCAAGGTCACGACTCGGTTAGCCTTGCTCAACTGGTTCGTTACCAGTCTTGTGATTGGTTGTTGACAAATGCTGAACAGGCCACGCCTCCAACGGTGTCGTGCGTTCGGACAAACTGTTAGGAATTCCTAAATGGAGTCAATTTGTGTAGTTTTCTTGATTTATTCTGCAGATATCGGTAAAATGTAGGTAAGGCTTTGGCTAAATTCGAAGGAGCAACTAATATTCTTCAACCTGGTATTTTTTTTAGATTTTATTTTTTATTTTTTTCGTCTGTTTTTTCGAGTTTAAAAAATGTGAGCTGGCTGGAGCCTTCACCCCTGTGGTCTTAGCAACGTGGAATGTCTTGTGACCTATACTAGTACTGTAGAATACTTTATTTTCGCTTGGAATTTATTTTCACTATTTTCGCTGAAAGGATGATTCCGTAAAAATAAAATCCAGCGAATATACTTTTTTCCCTATATTTCACATTCAACTCGTCAAAAATCAGTGTAAAGAAATACCACACAAAACACCAAAAATGCCTTTTCAGCGAAAATAAAGTATTTCACAGTATATTATAATCATTCAAATTAATTCAGGATACTAAAACAGATCTGTGTTATTTATTGTTACAAGTGGTAAAACTCAAGTGATATCTCATGTGTGGTTAGTGCCTCTATTACCTGTCACATGTTGTCTTGGGGTCTGTAAACACAAATTGAGCCATAAATCGTGTTCTGAGGTACTTTTCAATTAAATTCAGGTACGGCCTGTGAGGGCACTGCACCGCAGCAATAGGGACAGGCAGTTTGGGAGGTCAAAGAGAATAACACACACATACACATAGATGTCTCAGGGGTTGAAGAATACGGTGGTCCGAGGTCCGGGACTCATAAATTACTTTGACGGACCTCCGGATTAAAAGCACTAATAGTCCGTCGGACCATTGATTTTATAGATAACAAATAATAAAGGTGTCTGCATATAACAATTTAATCTAAAACAGTCCTGATATTCGTAGTCTCAAACCTACGTTTATTACGTGGAACGTAGTGACGTCCTCCGTTTTCTTACGCTGACTGTAATTGGTCAATAATATAGCACGCGGAAACATCAATGATGTCAGCCTACTTTGTGTGTGAATCCTGCACCCGCAAACATTATTTGTGTACAACAGCCATGAGTTTGTTTGATTTTGGGTTTAGTCAAATTAAAAAATCTAAAGGGGGTGATGACGATGAGACAGAAGAACTTCCGTCTAAAAAACAGAAGTACAATGTGACATCAAGTCATAGTGAACAAGAGAAACTCGCAAACTTGACGAAAGACAAGAAATATGATCGTGAGAAACGTGTTCGGTCTTTCAAGTCACATTGGACAACTGAATTTCCTTGGGTACGCCACGATGAAGTTACGAATACTATGTTTTGTGAATATTGCCGAAACTATCCGCTGTCATCTGATAAGTCAAGCGCCTTAGTGAAATGAACGACTAATTTGAAACTCGATCCGCTACGATCTCACGATGTTACCAACGAACACTTATCCTGTAGCCGACAGTTCTTGAGAGATAAAGATGGCCGAGCAGCAACGCAAGTGTCACAGGAAAATGTATTTGAAACTCGTATTGTCAAATCCTTCATGGGAATGGGTAAAGAAAACCAAGACCGAATGAGATATTTATTCAACACCGCATATGCGGTCGCCAAAGCAGGAAAGCCTTTTTCTGACTTCAAATTTATTTGTGGTATTCAAAAGAAAAATGGATTAAAGCTCGGAGAAAATTATGTTAATAGTCATGGCTGTACGGAATTTATGGAACACATTGCTTCAATATTAAGAAAGGACATTTCCAAAGAAATCAAGACAGTGAATTTTATCAGTGTTCTTGGCGACGGTAGTACCGACAAATCAATTATTGAACAGGAAATTCTATGTGCTATGTTGGGCCACGTACCAAGTTACCTGTCACCCGCGAGGTTGCGATTACATCGGTAGAAAATGCCACATCACAGGGGGTTTTTGATGCCTTGACGAATGGATTATCAAGTGTTGATTTAAATTTGGACAATCTCAACCCTGATAGGGAGAAAAAAACATCTCTTATATCATCAAACTTTGATGGTGCCTCCGTGAATATGGGAAAGAAGACGGGTGTCGTCACGAAAATAAAAGACGTTGTCTCGTCATCTATTGGTATTCATTGTGTGGCGCACAAGTTGGAATTGGCGATTTTGGACGCTTGTAAAACTGAAACAAATATCAGACTTCGAGGCCACGTTAAAGGGGATATTTCATTTTTACCACTATTCTCTGAAACGTCGACGTGAACTTAAGGAGATTGCCAATATATTTGAGACTGACTTAGCACATTTCTCGTCAGTCAAACAGGTTCGCTGGTTGGCAAGCAAAGAACGCGCGGTGAAGTCATTAGCGGTAAATATTGTAACAGTTGTAAAACACTTAGAACACAATTATACTGCTGGTAATCGAGCCGATGATGCAAACCGCGCAATGGGTTATTTAAAGGCGATTAGATCGTCATCTTTCCTGAAGATGCTCTATTTTTTGTTAGATTTTCTTCCAATTATTGCAAATTTGTCAAGGGTATTTCAGCAAGACACGCTGTTAGTTATTGAACTTCCTGATAAAATTGAGCAAACTATTATGAAGTTAAATGCTCTGAAAACTGTTTCTGGTAAGAATATGAAACATTTTATTGACTGCTATGAACCAGAAACTCGTAAATTTGGAGATATTGAAATTAAAGGTATTTTATTACCAGCTGAATATAATACACCAGTTTTTGAAAAACTGATTGACAATACCACTAAATATATAAACAACAGATTTATTGAACTTAATGAACCACCATTTAAACAGTTGTTGTGCCTGAACTTTCATCAGTGGCCTATGGATAAACAAGAATTGGCTACATATGGCAATGAAGATATTCATGAACTCATGAACAATACAGTGGTCAAGTCATATTTCAGTGAATCGGAAAGAGAGACAATAATTAATGATTGGTTAAACGTGAAGTTTTATTGCAAAACACACAGGTCACAGACGCTTTTAGATGTATACTCAATAATCCTACAGAGTGCAAATGATGTTATTAGTGCACCAGTTAAGAAATTATTGGAATATATGTTAACAGTATCACCTAGTACTAGTGCTTGTGAGAGAGGTTTTTCTAAAGTGAATGTTATAAAAACTGAACTCAGAACTAGACTAAATCATAACAATTTTCAGAATCAATTATTTGTTATGTCTGAAGGACCAGATTTAGCTGATTATAATCCTGACCCAGCAATTATATGCCTTGAAGTTGATGAAGATAAGTTACCTCAACCTAAAACTGATGAACATGCTCCATTACCTGAGATTGTATCAGAAAAGTAACTTACTCATGTACATGTATATGTATTAAAAATGAAATATGCTGTTAGAAAATGAAAAATAATGTTAAAACATCATTTTAGGACCAGTGAAATTATTACACGGACTAGTGACAATTTTCTTATCACTAGTCCTGGACCAGTGGAAAAATTCCATATTCTTCAACCCCTGTGTCTTGGATCCATATAGGGGGTAGTTTATTACTAATTTATATATATATAAAAGCACTATGAACTAAGAAACCAGTGTTTTTACAAAGAGTATGCAAATTTATGCAAATGCTATGTAAATGTGAACATGCTGACTTTGAAAACACTTGTAACGTACATATCTAAAAACTACAGACTAAACTAAAGGACTAAAGTCCCCCTTGGAGTTTAAAAGAGACACACTAATCAACCTGTGTTGATTATTAATAATAATGCTAAAAGACATCAATCAACCTGTGTTGATTATTGGTAAATTTTAAAAAGAAAACATTGCTCAACCTGTGTTGGTTCTTAATAAAGCTAATACAACAATCAACCTATGTTGATCATTGGTAAAGTAAGAAAAACCAATCAACTTGCCTTGACATTGCAAGAATTAGAAATAAAAGGAATAGCACACCCATGGTAAATATCATGACCTACACCCATGGTAAATATCATGACCTACCCATGTGAAAGAAGGTGGGGTGGGTGGGAGTTGAGAAAAACACGACGTCTGTGTCTGGCTTGGCAATGCGAACTGAGTACTAAATTAAAAATTGTCGGCAAACGGATAGTTTATTTATTTATGCTAATAGGGCAGCACAATTGAAATATGCAGATTTGACCTTTAAATCACTGACCTCCCAAAAGGCCCACTAGCTTCCCTGTATTTAAAACTCGTTAACATATTAACTTTGCCTTAAATCCAGGTACGGCCTGTGAGGGCACTGCACCGCAGCAACAGGGACAGGCAGTTTGGGAGGTCAAAGAGAATAAGATACACATAGATGTCTTGGATCCATATAGGGGGTAGTTTATTACTAAAGCACTATGAACTAAGAAACCAGTGTTTTCACAAGGAATATGCAAATTTCTGCAAATGCTATGTAAATGTGAACATGCTGATTTTGAAAACACTTGTAACTTACATATCTAAAAACTACAGATTAAACTAATGGACTAAAGTTACTTTACCAATGATCAACATAGGTTGATTGCTGTATTAGCTTTATTAAGAACCAACATAGGTCAGATTAGTGTCAGTTTTCACATAAAACTGGTAGTTGTCATGGCATTATTGTTAATTTACATATAATAACAACACATTAGCATAGGAATGAACTTCTTTTGTTGTTCTTCAAAATTCATGCATGTATTTGTCTCAATCAGATCAATTCAAAATAACCGATGGTTGGTCGGTTTGTTTCAACGAATGCTGTTCTTCAGCCATTTTTCTGACAACATGTACCATTTTCAGTGACTTGTCCCTTTTCACTTTCTCTATCAGGTTATCAGAAGCCAGGGTGAACCAGATCTCTATGTATCCAGATTTCCTGTACTATATCCCACAGAAAAAAGTCTAGCATGGTCATCGTACGACTGGGGCCATGAGAATCTTACCATATCGAGTTGGGATCCCGAGTTTGAAATTGGTACCTTCTACATTGGTGTGCATGCGTTTTGTAGTGATCAAGTACACAGTGGAGATGAGAGTGAGTATATAATATGCACATATTCCAGCCATTTATTTTCTGAATAGTGTGTAAAGTATTATAGGAGTGATATTATGTGATATGATGTGATGACTTTCCAGATTGCGTAAAAACAGATAGTTTGGAGATTTTGACACTGAAAATGCCTGGGCAAAATCATTTGCACTGAGGACGGCTGCTCAGGTATTTGCACTCTAACTTGCAGCACATGATCCTAAAAACATTACGTAAACAAACAAAAAATGATGTTGTACTAAAGTACATATAATACGTTCAAGGTTTTCATGTTTTCATAGCATAAAAACTGTTTTCTCCCTTGCTTATTGTGACACCCTCAAAAGCGAGTACCGGTAATTCCCATTCCCCTCAACGGAGAACAATGGTTTAGTCCCCTATTTTACGCTATGACTTGAAACAGTTTTTTATGCTTCACATGTTTATTTGCCTTCAATTACCTTTTGTTGGCTGTCACTGTCACTGTCGTCCCCAAAATCTTTCTCAAAAAATCTTTTATTTTATTGTCAACTAAAATGCCAGAAATTTGACATGTGATATTTCCAAGATGGCGCTGATCAATCAATTATGTGATACTCATCAATATTTTTTTAATATTAACCAAGAAACTTTCTATAATTTTCATCGCACAATTCAGTTCTGGGCTTCACACATAAAAGATATATGAAATCAAGATATCACAATGGTACCCTGAATTATGCATACAGACAGTATTGATCAAATCAAACCTGATTTGCTTCAGTTGCTACAAGTTTGAGTCAAGATTGCAATAAATATGTTTTTATTTGTTTATTTTTAGATTCTATATTCATATTATTGGTGGAGAGCATACCATCAACTCACCCAGAGACCCCAGACATGATGGGAATGACAATACAAGGTACATTGACACCCCAAGAATACAGCTATTACAGATTTTGCATTCCTCGTGACTGTGTTACCGTCGATGTACATCTCGAAAACTGTCTGAATCCAGAAGAGTGCCCGACCGGATATTCCTGGCCGGAACTAATCGTTTCTCGTTCAATTCAAAGACCGACTATATATGATCATTCATGGAAACTCGCTCAGATCTATCATCGTACCATTACCATAGCCCCGCCTGATTCAAATTTCAGGGTTGGGCATTATTACGTTGCTGTGTATGGCTGGTGTACACCAGATGAGCATTGCCCTGATATGTCAACATGTGGACCGTGTCACTATACTAGAAATGCAAGCTTTTCACTGAGTGTTACAATGAATGAGTTGTCGAGCTCTGATCAGTGCCCCTCAGCCAAGATTACATGCGAAATTACATTTTCTGTTGCGAGCAACGCTGTCATTAATATATCATTATTGGCAGTCTCTTGGTTTGTAATAACCTACAAATTAATGTTTGGCTGTTGAATCACTTTATCTCTTAGTGTGATTATTTGGTCATACCATCTTCTCTAATCTTTTTATTAGTTAGATCACCTGATTTTTGTATAAAAAGTTTTTTCCTCAAGAAAATCCAACCCCCTGGCAAGAAATGGCATAACCCTGCTTAGTGGTGAGAAATATAACTAGTTACATTATATAATGTTTCTGTTTGAAATTTCCGTAGTCAACAACTGTAATTCTTTAATGATGTTACCACTGATGATGCATCAAGCCTTGTAGTGTGTTCACACATGTAGCAAATTATGGCATTTGACTCAGAGTTTGCTTTAACCCACTGTTGGAAAACATGTGATTCGAGTAACCCAGTGTAGTTTAGTTTGGAGGCAGAGGGCTGGTCTTGAACCTGAGATGAGACGCATGTTAACAAAGTCTCTAATGGCCATGAGCAACCTATGAACAGAATGTAGGTTTAGTAGGGATGTTTTTTTTCCTAATTTCATATAATTTAATTTGAATATACTTCCATAATTTACAGTAGTTTCTGTTAAATACTGTCATAGATTTTATTGTTACACAGAGTATTAAATATCTTATTAACTTTTTAATAAATCATATTTAGCAAAACAAGTGTTGTAAAAATCATAAATTACTGAATCAATGCATAAATTTGTAATAATTATCATAATATGCAAATTGTGTGAATATCAAGTGTGTGTTGATATTTTATTTTTTGTTGTAGAATTATTTTTTTATGACTTTTTGTGATTCATTAGTATTTTTATAAATTTACCTCAGATTGACTTGATCTCCATTTTTATGGTTTACTCAGTTGCACTCAGTTTGTGTTATGCTGCCCTCAGTGGTTAGACTGGCTGGCGCAGTGGGGGCGATTAATTTGTTTTTGTAGTTTATATAAAATAAAAAAATTCGCGAAATGGAGGTGTTAGCGCAAAATTCCCTGTAACTGCGAAATCACCCCGACTGGTTTATTCTGCATGGCCCTCTATCGACACTGCAGGAACCCGTCGATTTTTCAACAGGTAATTATGTTAATGAGTGTTCTAATTGACAATCATCTAAGCCAATCACAACGTCTCTTCAACTGACCTCTGACCGAGAAGACGTCTGCTGATTGTAGCAGTCGTTTTTTTTTAATTCTACGACTAGTACGAGTTACTTTTTAAGTCTATTTACGACGACTACGACAAACTCAAATTTCAACGTGCCGCCATGTTGGGTCTGCAATGTGACCTTTACCATGTTGACCTCATTATGCATGTATTTTCGCGCCCACCTCATTATAATATGTGCATCATGAATATTTAATAGCAATGAATTTCCTGCAGAATAAACCAGTCGGGGTGATTTCGCGCTAACACGAATTTTTTTATTTTATTTAAACTAAAAAAAAAAAAAACTAATCATCCCGACTCCGCCAGTCTACTCAGTGGTATGTATTCTTCATTCCCATTATATTTCTAGTTCACACTCTGTCGTAAATTGAGACACTGGTTAACAATGATGTTATTTTATGTATAGGGAGGTGAGAGATTTACTTTCAAATGATATTTTATTTAAGGTTGACGTTACCAGACGCATTAGTGATTGACGCTTACAATTTGTATCAATCCAAGTTAACCGATTTCAACTGATTTTTTTGGAGGTACTGAATAATTGTGTGAACCAATGAAACCCTTGTAAAATTATTTACCAATATAAATCTGTCTCTATTCTAATTTTCCATTTGAGCCAAATTTAGCACTACTGAGCTTGTTACTGGTACTACACATATATGCAATGCATTGTGGGAAATATTCTCCTATTGTAAATGGAAAACTAATATCAGCTTAGAAACTCACTAAAAATTATATGTCAATTTATTGAAATGTTTTCACAATATTGGGATTCATATCAATAATACAAAAATTTACATCCCATATCACCAAGCAAAATATTGAGATATGAATAAATAATCTCACTATAGAAACCAGTGGAAAAATGACAATTTTCTATGATACTTTTGTATCTCAAAAATCAATCGGTAAACCTATATTTTTTTTTTTCAGTATTCTGAAGGTATGAACTCGTATAAAGTATGTCATAAAATCATTGTGTCTGAACCTCCTTAATTTTCATTTGTCAAATCTCATGTATAATTCATTAAATTACATAATCTCATGAATAATTCATTAAATTTAAATAATCTCATGAATAATTCATTAAATTACATAATCTCATGAATAATTCATTAAATTATGCTGATATGATTAGTAAAGAACAATTGTAATAGTATAGATAGTAGATTAAGTTTTAAACTGAATTGACAAGTGACTTGGTTTGTACAACATTGAATTTTGCTGTATAATATTTATGTATGAACTATGAATGTACATACTCGTAAATAAAAAAGTTGACTTGTGTATATGGATTTATGTTTTTATCACATACACATAATTGGGTTATTGACGCGAAACCAATCGTTTGCAAGAAAATTCATTTCTACAAAAAGTTTATCAAATTTAGATGTTGGTGATTTATAACAATAATAATACACTCCACAGAGTATTGGATTTAAAGATAGGTCTAGACACTTGTTTGGGGTCACCTCACACATTTTCTTGCCATAAACCCTTCTCCTAAGTACGGCACTGTAAGTGACTCATAATTCAAGGAATGAAACGTAGCCAAGTCCATTATTTAAGTGAACATCCTCGTCTGAACCCTGTTATTGCACAGTAATGGACATTGCAGTCTTTTATTTTAATTATATGTTGCAAAATTGAAAATGTGTGCAGTGGTTTGCTAGAAAGGAAAGAACTGGACAGCATGTGGTATCAATTGACCAATGAGAATGCAATGTTGTAGTGAACAGTATTTTAGTTTGTTATACATGTACATCAGTAGTTTGTTTGTATGCTGCCCTCTATGTACGGTCGGTGTTCATGCTGTGCACTTGATTTTGTCTGTGATGCCTATGTTTTATAGGAAATACGTGGATGTAGTCCCCAAATTAAGTCCGGCTATTCAAATAGTTTCTCCTCTAAGTGTATCAGAGGGCATTGGTTTGCTGTATAATGGCTGGATATAATGCAAGGGTTGACTGCATTGCAATATCAAGAATGGTTGCTTTTATTATTGTTTACTTTATCATGGGTGGCTTGATACATTTTGGCAGAGGAAGCGTTTAATCAAAACATTGCAGCCACCTCTACATAAACCATATCGCAATTCCAATTTTTTGTACTTGTGATATGGTCTATGGCCAATAATGTTACCTGTGTTTTCACCTTGGAGAGCTACCTTCAATACACATTATTTATTATACATGCATGCTAGTACATTTTAAGGTGGACGTACAGTTCTCCAGACAGTTCTATGTCAAGTCATCTGGTCAGTGTGAATATGAAGACATTGACCCATGTGTGATATGTACCAGCATAACAATTCTTTATCATCATCATTGAAGCTACTGATATACAAAAATTATAATAAGAAAAAGAAACAAAATTTAGAAAAAGAGTTTTATTTCTTTATTTCCCTTATTTACATACTTACTGTACAATTTTGCAAATGAAATAAAATACATGTCTGGTTTGCAATACTTGACATGGATATCATCGTACCATGCCTGGACGGGCTGACCTGATGTGCCAATGCAAGGCAGAATAGTATGATTTTATATTCTCAATGTCAATCAACTTTTGTCAAGTTTCAAAAAATAGATTAGCAATAATATTTTTCAAAAGTAGTTCATCAATGGTAATTAATAGAATGTATGTACATTTATATATTAAAAAAAAAATAAAAAGGATGGATTTTGAAGCTTTGATCAGTATGGTCTTGTACTCTTGCATTTAATTTTATTGCATAGCAAATTCATTTACAAACAAAATGTACCGTAAAGGAAATTAGACAAGGTCTCTGAATATAAACCAGTGAAAAAAAAATAGTTAGACAAATGTGAAAAAAATACATAATACATGTAATAATTATCTATTTCAGTTTTATACAACATTACCAAGTGAAATTAAATTATACAGATCAACTGATTTCTACATCTCAATAAATCATTATGTCCGGATACTGCTGGTGAACTGAAATTATTTTTTTCTCAAAATATCAACAATTGAAATTGAACATCTCATACATATGGATGGTTGTTTTTAAGCCCCCTTATTGACACAGACCACAATTTGGCTTGATAGTGTGGTTTTTTTTGTGTCCATCAAATTTTGGAGATTGCACTTTTATTTACTATACCCTCTTTCCCAAAAGCAATCAATGACCATATATATATATTAATTATTCATAAGCTAAAAAACTAGTGCAGCATTCATTATATAAGCTGTTATTTGATTGGACCAATGTATTGCCTTTCCTGATTGGCTAGGGCATAGTAACCAATCAAGAATAATCATGCTATCAGCCCAATCCATGATTTAGATAAGTAAGTGATACATCATCCATCCAGTTCATCAATTTTATCAATTGAACAGCAATTTTGAAATAAATAAAAAATATATAAAAATATTCTGTTTTAAATATCTGGTGGCAACAACAATTCCATCTTGACTTTTTGATACTGAAAATCATTTGAGGGACAAATTTGGAAAATGTGGTAGCAGTGGCCATTACACTGGGATCTGAGGTGACTGGGGTCCGAACTGGACTCGCAGTAACTTGGTTGAAATTTTATCCTCATGAATACTCTTGGTTGCCATTATTTATCTTTGCCCCTGCATCTGTAGTCTCTCCATCTCCTGTAAGCGCATAATTGTCTCGTGTTGATCAGGTGTGTCATTGTACAACAACTGCTCGGTGATACGAGTACGCAATCGTCCACTCACCTATCAATGCAAAGAATAAGTATGGTAATGAGTATAATCAAACCGAATATCATGTACATGTGTAATCCTTAAAACTCATAAAAGTCAACTTACATTCAATATATATTTTTTCCCATATACTTTTATTTCTCACAAATTTGATCAAGACCACACATCCAATTGTAAATTATGTTTCTCTAGTCCAAAATTAATGAAAATAAAATGAAGAAAATATCACCACTAAAATGTTGGCAAGAAAAAAACTATGATCAAGGTTTTGAAATCAACATGGATACATATTTACGATACTCACAGTTTTAGGTCTTTGCATAAACCTATCGGCATTGACTTCTCTGGGCCAGGGATCTGGTGTTAACGATCTGTTAGGAGGCATACCCACAGGTGGTGGCCAAATACCAGTACTTGGGCGACTCAAAGTTTTTTCACGAGACCTTGTTCGCATAGCTAGAAAATACAATGATATGAACATTAATATAAGGATGAATATTCATTAAGCAATGAAAATTTCCCAAGTAATAGCACTACTTGACAACGTTATGTATTCAAAATTGTCAAGTTTTTGACTGATTTAGCAGATAAAAATAGTATTAATTGTATCTTACTGCCGGCTGTATGGGGCCGAGATGATTGCCCAACTTCAATGTCATAAACTTGAGTCTGTAGTTCATCCACTCGCTGAAAAGCATCTAGTTTCAAGGCTCTTTCATGAGCAAGTTGCTTCTTCATCTGACCCACATCTTTTTTCACTTTGGTATGGACTATATGATTCATTTTCTGATTTTTATCGTGTTCTTCTGATAACACTTTCAAACGTACGTCTTTGTCTTCGAGTTGCTCAACCTAGAATACAGTTACACATAAAAGTTGAAATTTAGTATGGAGCACAAGTTTGTAACAATCTCTAAACTTAATCCTCATCAACATATTTTCCGTATTAAAAACATTTTTATCAGTGCTTCTTTTTTTGGAGTTTTATTTTAGATGAAAGTTTGAGGAAATCAGGAAATGTAGAGGAGCATCAATTGAAGACAAGATCAGTGACAATATTCATCAGTTTGTCATTACTATTCAAATTGGTATATTTCAATGAGTATGTAGATGCTAAATCAGATATACATGAGAGTTTTTGCATGTCAATGTTTTACATGATTTAAAGGCCATGCTTTCAACCCCTGGGACTGCATTGCTCATTATAATAAATCTTTGAATGAAGAAATGTTTGCCATATATAGACTTGATAAGTTGACAACCATATAAACAACAAAGACACACCCAGCTTCCAATCTGTCATGTACCGGTATGTGTAAACCCCACACACAAGGTGCCAATACTTACAAGTCTTTCCAAGTTAGATGCTCTTGCGTGTTCTAATTGTTTAATACTACGTGCTTCTCTCTCTGCCTTGTGTTCTCGCTCTTTCTTCAACTTGAACTAAGAAGGGAATAGAACGATTTTATTCAAAGGCTTTAACCCTATACTGTTTTTAATTTCTCACATTCACGATTCTACATAGGAAAATCTTGTATTTCTATTTTAACCATTACCACTATAATAATAATTCTTACTTTTTAAAATTGTTGGAAAAATTTAACCAAACGTTAGTCAAAATTAGAGAAATTTGTAAAGGCAGTAATTTTTATGCCCCAGGAATCTCTATGCAGGAGTACGCTCAATTTGTATGAAACATAAACAACACATTTTACTCTCACACATGCATTGATCCTTACTGAATGCACAGTCATGTGACTAACACCACTACTTTTAAACTATTTAACCTATAGATACACTTTTGAACAGATAAGATACAGAGATTTAATTTACCTCTTTGTCCAAGAGTTTTTGAATAGCTTCTCTTTCTTTCTCAGAGTTTGCCAGTGATTTCTTCATTGAAATCATCTGTTGTCGTAGCAATATGACCTCCTCCTCAGACATCATTTTGATTTCCAAGTAATCTTTCTTACACCTGTCAGCTTCTTGTCTTAGATGGTACAACTATACAACGACAATAGAACAAACACATATGAAGGAGACTAACCCAATAGAATCAAGAATACATATTTTTTATACCACTAGACCCATTGTTCTGGTGTTTCTGTAACTCCATGCTTAGTTTTTTGTCTCTATGTAGATTTTTGTAATTTCTACAATTCTTGTCATAATTTACATTTACTTTGTGTTGTGGTACAAGATGTTATTCACATCTCATAGCCAAGCTGTTTCAAATTTAACGTTTTGACCACCAGACTTTCTTGCCCAAATTTTTCTTATGTTCTTCAATATTTATAGAAATGAACCCTAAATTTAGAGTCAATAGACACAATTTGATTAAATTTGTCGTTTTTACCCAAAAACTTTGGCTATTTTTGTTCCAATCTTCTGACGGAAAGTACAGACTATAAACAGAACTATTTTGTGAATTTGTGATGAAAAGAGAGAACTGGTGGTGAAACATCCACTTCTACAAAATGCTGACCATAAATGTGGCTGTTACTGTTGAAACAGCATGGGTATGATTAACAAAACATAAAGGATTTATCTAAATCAGAATAAATGTCAGATGTCAACTCCACTACACTTACAGCTTTTTCATAATATTCGTATAGTTGTGTCCTTTTCCATTTGTTCATAGTTTTCATTTTCAGCACTAATCTGTTCAACGTCAAGTTTTCATGCTTTATTTCTCTCAGTTCTTCAGCCTTACGTAGATTTCTTTGTAATGTATCCTCCTCTGTTGAAACATGATTGAAAGTCACATTTAACTGGTAATTGTAATTTACAGATAGCTACAACATGGTTGGTTCATTAGTGACTTAGGTAGTAAGAGATCTTGTAAAGAAGATACAGTTGTTTCCCACCAATATACAATCAACAGATTTTGTGGTTAAATTAATTTTATTGCAATATCAAATCTTCACTATTATGTTCTCCAAAAAATTAGAATTACTAAATATGTGTAATAGTTAATCTCAATATACACAGTATTTCAAATACAGTATCTCTCATTTGTAAATGATCACAAGATTTTGAGGGTAGTGTTTATTTCTCAAACATGTCCAGATCCTGTTTTACACATACATGTACCATCAAATTTTACCTACCCCAACTACTGGGTTGGGGAAAACACTGATGCCTTCAAGTCTATAGATTCTTGTCTTGACTATTGAACTAGACCAACTACATGGTGTACAATGATTACCGGTACAATGAAACAACTATAACGATATAAGATCTATAAATTTTATCAAAATTTTTTTTTTATTAATAATGGCCCTCATTCTAGATGAATAAAGAGATTATGAACCAGGTGAATGACACATACATGTATGTTGCGTCTGTAAATCCATGAATGGTTAATTTACCTTCAGTACCACCAGGTTTGAGTTTTAATTTACTCATTGTCTCCACAGCATCTCTTCTGACATCCCCAATACTGTTAAACATGTCATCGTAAAGGTGATTCCTATGTAAGAATCGAAAACATTAACTAAATACAGGTGCAAGTGTGCATGTTCTAGAAACAGAGAAAGCAACCTAATAATCACTATTGAACAGTTTATTGTCCGTGAACATGGCAGACTCCTACACATCTTCAAGCAAGTGATGATTCAGTATCAATTGCGCTGATAAGAAACGTATCTACTAAAGAGGAAATGATTCTTGATAGTTGTGTAGAACAAATGTGTCGTAGAAATTAAACTACCAGTGTATTGGTACAAAGATGTTGAAATACTTAGGATCTCCTTGACACAGTTACTTATACTAAACAGTCCATTGCCTTTACTATAGCAGGATTTAAATTACCACTATTATCACAATAGGTGATTTTCCGTACAACTGCGAGATCTTCGCGAGATGCATGAAAGACGTGCGTTGAACGTCTGCCGCAAAAATCGAACGATTTGATTTTGAACTCGAATTTCTTTATTTCGTAGCGCACATCGACCGGCCGATCTTCGACAGAGGAATATTACATTCGAATATCCTCACTTAATCGAAATTGCCCATCATCAAATGTGTACAGCACATTATTGACATGGAAATGTTCCCCAAAATACTTTCGCGTTTGTCGAATCTCACGCGATGTTTGACGCCACTGCAACGCTATGACCTTTGTTTGTCCTGTTTTTACGTTCGATTTCACGCATAACGCGTGATTCTCGCAGTGAACGGAAAATGGTCTATTATATTACAATTACACACGCACAGTAGTAAATGTACATGGCATAGCATAGCACTCAGTTCATTCTGAGGTTACAGTCATCAGTGAGCCACACATATATATCAAAAAAAACACTGTTTGACAGATATCTCATTTTATACTGACCTGAACTCATCAAATCTTGTTTTCAAAGCAAACGATGTCAAAAATAGATTCTGCACAAGCCCATCATACTCAATTTTTACTTCCTCCCTGATATCCCTCTCTTTGGTGAGAGCTTCATCTCTCATTTCGGCAATCTTGGCTCTTAGTGCAGTGATCTCTGTAAAAATGCATTACAATTACAAGTTACTATTTGGAATTGAAATATGAAAAGATACATGAAAGATGTTTTTATAAATAAAAATATGTTTTTTAATAGCCTCTTTCTAATTCAAAGTAGTCTGGACATCGTTTGGGCCATATCACAATTTACTTATCTGCAGATATTTTTTCAGCATCATCAATGTATGAAAAGCCTGACTAATTTCTGATAAAAAAATGACAGTAGTGGTCTCTATAACGCTTGGTAAACTTAATTTTGAGGGCTACTGAGTTTTACCATCTTTAAAAAAAAAATACATAAACTACTTATACATGAACTATTACTATAGCTTAGTTCATAGCACAATTCAAGCTCTCTATTTGACTTCTCACAAAAGCAAAAATACATAGTGTACATACCAAGTATAAGTTCATGACTCCTGTCAGCTAACTGGCACTGTACTTCTACCAAAGCGGAGGCACTACCACTTTTCACACCATCCTTTAGTTGCTTTATTTCCTGAAAATATTAAGTGAGTAAACATCAGTAAAAATCTACACAATATAAAAATAAGTCTTTAAAATATTTGTTGGGACCTCCATTCAATATATGTGATTTTTTATAAATAAACTTGACTATTATTATTATGTTTGGATTATGGATTCTTTCTGGTTTAATTGTTTTCTATTAATTCAATTGTTGTTCAAATGTAACTTTATTTTATTTTCATATCAATATCCCAGAGAGGATACAATTTCAATTCATTCATTCATTCATTCATTCATTCATTCATTCATTCATTCATTCATACAAAGTTCAATTTTGCACACAATAAATGACATACAGAAGTCTCAATAATAAACGATAGAATAATGTTTAGTTTTGTATTTATGATTATTCTGATATATTTACCTGTTCTCTTTGGTATAGCAACTGATGATTCTGTCTCAGTAGATTCTCGTAGTACATGGAATAGGATTCATAGTTACTCTTCTCTCGCTGCATCACCACGTTAGCAAGCTGTGATAAGGCACTGTTTAAGGATTCCTATATGATACAAGCAATTATAGTTATCATACAAGTTATCAATGTCAAGTTCATTATCTCAATTATTGGGTAAAGTAATGTACAATTATAGTAAAAGTGGCGTAATCATTTGAAGCTTTCCTAATAAAAATATACATGTACTTTTGTAAGAAAACTGCACCACAAGTAAAATTGGTGTTTGTCTTGTAAAAAGTGACTTCTTTCCTGGTAGTTAATTTTGTTATAAAAACATTCAGAGCAATTTTTAGTAAATTTAAAACACTGAATAAAACAAAAACAATCTTGTTATTATTGATTGCAATAATACTTAATACATCTTGTCACTATCCCCAATTCCTTACCCTTTTTATGACGAGTTCATCTCCATCTTCCTTGGCTGCGGACATTAGAAGTCTTGAGAAATCTTCAGCAATATGTGGTTTGGCTATAGTCATTCTTTCATTAATTGTCTACAGGGATAGAACAGACATGAAAACTTTATAAATGAAGAGAAAATTTCCTTATATTATTATATATATATTATCTAACAGTATTTTTTTAGTGTAATTCTGTGTTATGATTGTATATTGTACTTGGAGACTTTCTGTTTCTGTCCAAAAAAGAGAAAATGTAAATTTTGAAGAACGAGGGAGGAAGTAGTAGATCTGAGATTCCACATTATGTGTGAAATCAAGCGTAAAACAATGCGAAAGTAGTTTTGAGTATTACGGTACAACCCTGGGGGGGGCTACTTCCACATTAAGTGGGTAAGGGTGTGAAGCCCACCTCTCGAAAACCATACTCACTTCTAAACAATTTTTTTTTCTATTTATATACCCACTTCTAAACACAAGTGTTTTCAGGGGAAAAAAACACCCAGCTCACAACTTTCGATACCAGTGAGCGCATCCGGGCGATGCATTTTATTCAGCCTTTTCCAGTATTTGGCTTTGAATATAAGGATATATGAAAAAGTAAATAAATGCTACACACTTCTAAACCAAACCATTGATAAATGGCTACCCACTTCTAAACAAAATAACGTGAAATGACACCCCACATACTTATTTGCTTTAGTTTGGGGGTGGGGGGTGACCTTAAAAAGTTTCTATCCAATCATGGACAAAAATAACAGAAAAGGAAAAAAAAACATCCAAGACGAGAAAATGGTTTGGTCCTAGTGTAAATATGTGCGTCAAATGAGGTCAATTTCAGGGCATGGACCTAGAACCAACTGCTATGCAATACTACTGTCCGATTATCAATTTGTATTTAATGGTGAATGTAGTCTGACCACATGATCAATATTTATCAATTACGTTCAGTGGGGGGGGGGGACTAAAGGAATTAAGTTTTTTATCCTACATTGAACTTTTGATGTTGTCCCTAAGGGTATCTCAATGCCATGTTCTTTTTCTGAAAGATTAGCATTTTGACGTTGAGCTATAAAAAACATAATCAAAATCAAGTCATTAGATTTTTGCACCAGATATTCAGTCTGTGCCTAATCCTAACATCCCGTGAAGAATAGAATGAGTGACAGTTAGGTTAGGATGAATGCATATAGTTACCAATACATGCTGGGTACTTTAATATTTGAATTGAAATTCCACCCAAACAGGAGATTCTTCTCAAGATCTATTTGATCCTGACATCACAGACTTGTTGTCTGTATTGAACAACACATCTTGTAAGTTTCAATCAGTATCATGTAACAGAATGCTTTGAGCAAAGTCAGCCAATAAACCCCCAAAATAATGACTCAAATATACATTCAGAAATGTGCCAAACATGCCACGCAAATTATGTTGTTTTTTTTAATGTGGACATTACTTACTGGTTTCTTCCACAAGTCTGTTGGCAGGTTTCCCTCTTCCCTGGCTCTTTCTGACACAACCAGTGTGTGTTCCCGGGCAATCTTCTTTCGCATTTCATGTATCATGTGACTTTCTAAGCTATCCAGGAGTTTGATTAGTTGCTTGGCACGGATTTCCATTTCAGAAGCACCTTGTGGTGCTACGAGGGGTTCGTCATCACTCATCAATCCTTCGTACATATCACCCTGAAATATAATTAAAAATCAAAATTGTTATAAGTGGGTGTAAGCATGGTTTGAAGGAGATCAAGTGAAGAAGCATTTTTCACTGTTATACATGTACCCTTGTACGGAATTGCAGAACTAGCTACATGTACATATTTTTTGATTTTGTTTCAAACTACCATCCTTACAGGTGAGTGAAATGCTGGCAATTTGTACATTTTAAAGTGGAACTCTGTCATCATGAAATCCAGCCAGTCTGAGTACACCCAATAATGACCTAGTGAATAATTGCTATTGAAATGACTACACAGTTGAAACAGAACTCTGAGCCATCACTGATTGGCTTCCTGGTGTGATGCCTTATATGGTCGCCTCGGGACGTTTTTTTCAATGAATATTCTTCACTGAACCAAATCAAATGTGTGTATGTATGTGTCCTAGCCATATACAAGCGAATCAAATTGATTTCCATCAGATGTCCATGTGTTCAGTACATTATTGCCAGTGGCACACACACGTGCACACACTGACTATTGGTATTCCCGGGTGCGGAACTACATCACAAGATTATTCCACGTTGCTAAAATGTGCACCACTGTACCATGTAGTTTCATGGGCTCTGTGCGAGCTGCTGTGGAACGCCGGTCAAAGAGCCAGTGAAAATAGCTAAATTCAAGAAAACAACACAAACTCAATTTTGAAGTAAAGCCTGGATGTCCGCACCCGAGACACCCTAAACACTGCAAACAGATTCAATAGTCTATTATTTATAGCTTTGACATCATGAAGTAATCATACAGCTTAGGTTAGGATGTTATTCATGAGGAGTTCTCAGTTACTAATTGAAGGGACAACTTGTGTGTGGTTTCTACAGGGTTGATCATGTCTGATGTTAGTGCAATATAAATATAAGTTTCTTACCCTTCCAAATTTCCTTGCAATGTTTTTAAGCACATAATATGCAATATCAATTTTATACTGTTTACTGCAAGAAAAATAGGTTAAATTATAAAAAATATAGAATTTCATTGTGTTATAAATATTTATAGCATATTGACTGAAAAATGGTTTATTTGTTAATTGTGTATTAACCTTTTCACCACCAGACTTTCTCACTCAAATATTGCAGCCCTTTTTTCTTATATTCTTCAATATTTCTGAAAATGAACCTCAATTTTAGAGCCAACAGACAAAATTGGAGTAAATTTACAGTTTTTATTCAAAAAATTTGGATCATTTTGTCTCAATCTTCTGAAGGAAAGCGCAGACTATAAACATGACTATTTTGTGAATTTGTGATGAAAAGCGGGATCTGACGATAAAAAGGTTAATGAACTTCAGTATTCACCCACCATGCACAATTTTATTTAATATATAACTTACATGTATTATATATGTATTTCCATATAGAACATAATACATAAATGAACGGAATGAATAAAATTGTGTCAAATGAAAGCAAACTGATTCAGTGTGAGTTGACAGTTCATCATGTTTACCATAGTGTCATAAAATATATATTGTTGTCAGAACTGCACGAGTGTATCTTTCTGTTCTCTATTGTGTACACTGCACATTTAAGACTTAGTTCGTTCACTGGTTAGTTGCTCACATAAATACATGGAGTCCCTGCATGGCTAAGCTTGACTGAATAACACTAGCAAATACCCCCCTGACAGTTTGCAATGTCTCCTCACGTCTAATTTTTTATAATTAGCGACACTGAAATTTAAATTAACAAAAATCAGTGCAATCTGTCAGAGAACTCCATTAAAACGTTCACTACTTTATTTCAAAGTTTCTCTGAATTCCTGCTAAAAATTAAATACATTTACAGTACTTACCGGAATTGTTTATAAAGAGACAGTGTGTTTATTTCTTCTACACTAAGTTTGCGTTTACCCCAATCTAATTTGAACACTTCCAGTCTTTTCCACATTATCAGGAATTTTTTCAGCATTCCATAGGCAACAAGTGGTTCTTTAGTTCTGGACACAGGCTGAGTTTTCTGCATCACAGCTGTCAGGGAAAAATCTGGATTTTAATATAATTGTTAATTATTGTACAGTTCCTTTGGTAGAATTCGATCCCTCCCCTACAATGTAATTACCACGAAAGAAATCGATAGAATTATTAGTATGGTACTAGAAGTATGGACCCAACTTAGCAAGTCACTTAAAAAAAGAATGCTGTAACTAAAGTTCCCGGTTGCCACATCATTAAACATGATCACAAAAGAATTGGAGGGGAGGGGTGATTTTACAACTGGTTGTCTGGGAGAAATATTTTACAAAGACATTACAGATAACATTGGGATATATGGTAAATGATATTTTGATCATAATCATTTTGAGTGTATGAATGTGAACTTTCAAAGGGAACAAGGATGACTGAAATAAAGAACCAACATTTGCAGTACAAAATGAAAGTGAATATAGTAAAATATCCACATCAAATACATGGAAGCTAAGTAGCCGGGGAATCTGTGGAACCCAAACTCCTTTTAATGTGTAGAAGTTTTAAGTTTGTTCATGTTGTGAATATAGTAACTGTGACTCCTTGTCTCAAGGACGCTAATTGAAATGTAGCTACAGAATAGTGTGAAATTCAGGTGAAACTAAATTGTATGTACTACATATAAAACATACCAGACACAACTGATTCCCTTTCAGATCGCTCATCGTCCAACCTAGCAGCTTTTGAAGCCTTGAAGGGATCCACATTGTCCTCAACATCACTCTCTGCCTCCAAGCTGTTGAACAGTTCGTCTGGCTGGCATGTCTGCAACACGTCTTCCATGAGTAACGACACACCAAGGATCTCACCATTAGCAATGTCCCTATCAACCTCTTTTAGCCCTGCCATACATAGCTGCATACTGTATTCTATTTTACGGAACTCCCAAAATTGCAGTGGGAATGGTCCTCGTCTGACGCAGTAAAAAAAAAGTGTCAGTGCAGAACTATATATATATCTGTAAATTTATTCTAATATAAATTTGATGAGATACCTGCTTTATGATTATTCAATACAACAATGTGTTCTCCCATAAACTTTTGTTATCTATTAGGAACTGGTTTCCTTATTCATTCATTCAATTTTTTTTAATTTTTACTGTTCAGTGTGTGTCGATGGAGAATGATGACCATGGTGCTTCAAAACATTTGGAACTGCCGGTACTGACAATTTCACCCACCAATTTTTTTTTTTACCAAAAATTCATTGATAATCGATATTCCAAGCTCAGGATGGAGCTCAGGTTGACTCTGAGCAAGCTCAGGTTGAAGCTCAAGATTGCCATTACATACCTGGATAATCTGCAGATGATGATGATGAATATATACACTATCTTCAAAACATAACAAATTACACACTCTGAAAAAAACAACTCAATATGAAGAGCATGCACATACTCACCTTCCAAGAAAAGCTCTCCATGGCACCAAGACTTGGGCATCAAAGTCCCTTGGTTCATATGGTTCTGGTACTGGTAGATATAACGAATACAGTGATGGTACTTGAGCATTGCTCAGATAAGACAACGCGAAGTGCATGTTATCCACGACACTACGGTGTGCTTGGATGTTCCCTGTAGAAAGAAACGTATCGCACATGGCATGCCGCACCGAAGTGTCAAACTCTAGAAACATCACATCGCGACGTAGGATCAGGAAGTCAACCACCTGTAAAGAAGTATTTATTAGTTATTAGAATTAGCATGTACTACTAAACAATCATTAACAGTATGTTGGGGTACGTGAAGATTAATAGTTTCCCTGAAGTGACAATTAGTCACAAAGCCACAGCAGTCATCTCAACGGTGGTCTCATGGGCATGGGAATTTATTTATCCTATTTTCAACATGTTTATTAACAACATGTTTTGGATGTCATGTACTGGTAGTTCACAGTCAATTCGTCCCAATTCATTTTTCACCCAATTCACATTCATCTCATTGCTTTTGGTTAGCCTTACAATCATGTGCAGGGTGACTTCCTTTATATATAAATAACAGAAAAAAATCATACTTCATGCATTTTATATGTGCAACATGTTCTAACAAGACTACCGGTATTTACTGTAATTCCCAATATTCAGAAATAAACAACTTTTACCATTTTCAGAACATTAATTAATTACACTATAATCTTGAAATGAATAACTTGATTTGACAATTGAGGGAATAACGTATTGTGAAGTGCGATACAATAAATGACTGGACTTCAGGCTTAAGGGTGTTGTTGTAATGCACAAGGAGTGCATGACCAAGATTAGACAGTTTGTTGTTAGGATCTTGTTACATGTATTGGACAAAATATCACAGGCTAACCTAATATAATTCAAACGAATCAACTTGGAACAAATCAACCTGTGGGCTGAATCAACTTGAGACGAATGCGATTTGTGAATAATTGACCGTCCACCCATAGAGTTACATGTATCTTCTGACACCGTTGCCAACCTGGTTGTGTTTGTTTGCTGTGTGCTTCATTTATGTTGTGTTCCCAGTGATTAACATTTTGATGTCCACATTTGCTTCAGTGAACTCTGATGATTTGATCTTTCTTAAATTTCCTTACCTGTTGAGGGTTTGTAGGATTTTCCAAATTATCAATCTGTTTCTGTATTTGTCTTAATTCTGCTGATATACCTTCTGTACCGCCCCAATTTGCAGTTACACCATCAGCTCTGTTACTTCCAAGTCTGTAAAAAATCATGCCATGATATCGGATGAGAAGTGTTGCCATAGTTACATGCTGACTTTACTTGATGGATGAGCTGTAACTTTGTGTCATTGATATATTGTTATGTACTATTAACTGTGACTGCATTGAATAAAACATTGATAACATCTCAACACTGCAATATGCATACCTTTCCTGTAAGGTTACACCTACTAGCGATGACACCCCTGCCATCACCGTTCTCAGTATTACGACTGTTATGATCTGTCCACCGATAACAAATAATATACTATTATATTCTAATTGACCAAACACAGTTATCGCTGTGAATCACTTTGCTTTCACCTAGAACTTTTTTTACACCACAGAAATAATATACATTTTTCTTACAACCCAAAGTTTTAGAAGGATATCCAATTTCATCTTTAAATAGTTGTAAATCCACCAATAGCCAAGCATGTTTTTTACCAATTTTCCACTCAAAATGACTAATAATTTTGAAGTTCAATGGAGTGACTCATAAAACACCAATGCTAGCATATTATGTGACTGTTATTTTTTATATATTGAGAGACATTGGACAGCAGAAAATATTACAGAAGCTGAGTTCAGTACCTTGCATTTGAGCTGCCTAGTTTAGAGTATGCAATTAAATAGCTCAAGATATCATGAAGCGCTGCAATGATCTGCAGCGTTAATCTCAGTGCTTGTATACATGTATCATCATCTAATTTCTTAAACATGATGAGGACTTCAGAGTGATGTGGCAAGAACCATATGTTCAAAACCGTAGTGCCATCTTTAGAAATAACCTTTCTTGGACGCTTGTGCAGAGTTCTGAAACCGAGGAGAGAATATTATGATAAAAGACAAAATAGTGTGGTGTGAAGTAAGGTTAGGTGTTTTTTATGTGTCGTGGTACACCTCAACCCCTGGTAGAAATTGAAAATTAAAGATCAACTATTCCTGACTTCAGAGCATAGCATCAGCTGCAGCGAAGTACATACTAGAACAAATAAAATATTTTATAAGGAAATTGACTGTGTTACTACCTTGGGTCTGTAGCTAAGCCCTTCTTATCATCACTGTCTTCTTTCTTCTCATTGGGTAGTCCACATATGAAGTGAGTTTGTTTGATGGATGGGAACTCGTCCAGTAATGCCTGTGCACTGTTGAGGTACGCTATGATTTGACTCCGCAAAGAGTACTGTGAAATACGTCGCTGAAAACGACGACAAAACTCACCAATCAGACCCCTGCAAGTAAAAAACAGATTAAATTCAGCATAATTAGGTTTCAATGCTTACTTGAGACTTAATGTGCCTGCAATATGATTCTAACTACTCCAATACCTGTGTAAGGGGCTGACCAATAAAAACTCTGAGAGGGAAGACTGTAAAACTGTGCAAATTATTTTGCTTCATTTTGTTTTCATCTTGACATTTTTAATTATGATGTTGCTGTAAAAAATACATTTGATCTTGTGTGTTCTTCATAACATTATTTTTTTTTCTTTGAAGGTCTGTTTTTCTACCACTACCCCAAGGTTTATTGTTAAGACCCATCAACTGAAATAACAAATAACATTTACCGTTTCAATTTCTCAACTTCTTCATTACTCTTCAACAGTGTTCCCATTACTTGTTTTTTATTCAAATACATATTACACATGAGATCTCTGGATGGTACCTGGATGCAAATAAAATGGAGATACATCAAAGAATTAGGTCCATGTTAAAACAACAATAATTTATCACATTGTTCGACACTACTTAACTCCCATAATACAGCAGTTGAGCTAAAACCCCAACATTGTTGAAATGATACTATTGACTGACACAGACAATTCTACTTCCTGTCTATTTTAAGCAACAAACACCATTTCTCACTATCTGACTGGTACAAGATTCAGCACAATGATGGACAGAACAACATATATAAAGTTATGTTTCCAGAATGGCAGTAATGCTTGATTTTTTGGCCATGTTGAATCGGATCATGAAATTCATGTGTATATATGCACTCCAAGATCCAGACATTATAATGTTTGTGTGAAGTTTGAACATGATTGATCCAAGCATGTCTGAGATACAAGTGCACATGAATGTCCAGAGTCCAAAAAAAATTTAGAGTCACTAAATTAGAAATCTTCGCAGTGATATAATATCACTCTATGCCTAGCTACAATGCTAGTGATATCTCACTGATCATTGGTCAGTTATTGACCATAAATTTGATTTATTGAATGAAAATTCCATCAACAATTTTAAATATCTGGATTGAGGTTGTATGTGCATGCATTTAAACTGGCCAATGACAATTGAGTTTCTATTTCTCTAGACCACTCAATACATCCCATAATGAGTGATATTACTCGCATCATATCCAAACATTAGTGGAGTGGCGTAAACAAGTGAAATGCTGCATACATTTTTAGCTTGATGGAAATAATGTTTACCTTTTCTAATTGTATTGATACAAATGACTCAGGCGATCTTTTATGCCTCTCCATACCGGTCTTGACCTTAGCCGCAAACATGATCGTTGATGTCATGGCGCTCACATTTACTGGTAAACTACCTGCTGTCAGTGCCGTCAAACCACTCTTCTCACTTCGGGAATCTGAGGGCGATCTACGTCCACTGTAAATGACATAATATAAACAACTGTACCACAGTATTTTCGTTTTCTCACTTTATTTTACAGCAAACTGATGTAAATACATACACACATTTCATGTGGAACGCTAAAAGTGAAAACAGCTAAAGTCATGAAAACAGCACAAACTCAACTTTTAAGTAATCTTGAGCAACTAAATGTATATACATTTGTATGTTGCACATGCATGGGGTAATCTTTCTACACTATTTTAATAGGGGAGTTTCAACAACTATCCCAATTAAAGTACAGTTTTCTGAGAGTTTTCGGGCTTTGTTTTCACCGTGATGGTTGCCAGGTGATGAAAATGCCTGAATGTCCGCTACTGAGAATACATAGATTTCTAAACAGGTAGAATATGAAATGCATCACATTAAAACCATTTGTGTCGCTGGGTTTCAACACATGGCAATGTGTTTTATCATACCTTTTTGCAGTGTCAATGGCAGTCTTTTCTTGGAAGTATGAGCACACATTAGCAAGTTGTACTGCACTTAATAATGCATTCTTGTGCACAATCTGTGTCTGTAGCGCTAGACGTAAATTGTCTATTCCAGAACTTTGCACCATCTGAATAATAATTATCACAACATGGTTAGCCTGAACCTATATTATCAATTTTGCAGGGGAAAACTTTCTGAGATGGTATGTGTGTGTTTATTGCAGCATAACATTTGAATCGAATATGTGATGACATGAACGCATTAATCGTTTCCACTTGCTAGGCCTGTTGTCCGTTTCATAAATCAATGCAAATGAATCACAACTATAAACATTGCATTTTTTTTCACCTGTTTCTTTGTTTATGTGCAGAAATAGTGCATGGTCAGCATAACCGCAAGATTGTTGAAAAATACTAAAATTAATATATTGTTGTCAATTGCATCATGTATCTAGCCCATCTACCGGTATGCGTATATTCTATTGAGTGAGTTTTAGCCTTGGGATATGAAATCTAGAATGCACACTACACTGTGGGTAGATAATAACTCCTCAAAATGAATTAGAATGCCAGTTACACAAAAAAAAAAAACCCATAATCCATGTGGAACGCATTATATAATGCAATATAGTGAAAATCAGGGTAGTTTTTTTTCAGAATTATCATAGTACTAGGCAAGTTTTAAAAAACCAATGGCTCTTCATCACCTCTTACAATAGTAGTATAATCCAAGAAAATACGTTGGGAGAATTGGAATAAGCAAAAGAATATATAAAACCGCTATTTTATAGCATATTTCTTGTGCAAGCATTTTATAATGAGGGAATAAAATACCCTAATTTGCCATTTATAACCTGTTTATAACAGACCCAAGGTATAACAAAATAAACTGCAGCATAATTTAGATAATAATAAATAGGAGTGTGTCAGGTATAACTTATTAATTGTTATCCCCAAAAAAGTAAATTTAGAATGGCTGATTAGATTTGGTAGTGATTATAATGAAAGACATACAATCAAAGTTTAGTTTCAAATCAATTTTAAGTTTGATTTATATGATGTAGAAAGCTTCTAATTCATACACTTTGATATATTGTTGATGCGATGATCATGAGAATACTGTGAAACATGAACAAAGTTACCGATAGAACAGTGATAGTATCGATCAACAGGTGGCAGAGGTTGATGTGATCAAATACTGCCTTAGTGCAAAAAGTAACAGAAATCTCATGATAGTCCTATATACATTTTTTTTCCCAGTTTGTAGTCATACCAGTAATTTAGTGAATAATTTGTGCCATCAACCATGTTCATGGATGACGATAATCAATTACTGTAAAATGCCGCCTTATAGCAACAAAAATGTCTGAATGATACGTCTGTTTTAAACAAAAGTGAACACATTTTTTTTCTACAGAATGCTAAATACCATTGTTTTCTGGGATTGGTATGTATAATACTCATTCTTATCCTGCTCAGATGACACTCGAGTACCATGTAGATTTGTTTCACATATCAACAAAGCCTTTGATCCATTTACTCACTCACCTTTACAAAGCCATCTCTATTGCGAAATGTAAACATACCAACATGTTTCTCATCTAGTTCTTGTACTGCCAGAAACAAACTTGAAGGCACGTATCTACAAAGAAAATTATTGAATGAATTAGGAATACAATTGTAAACTATGGAAAATACAACACACGCATAAAAAGATATATGAAAAGCAGCCTCTTCATTAGCAGGGTTTTGTTTTTGCTTATTTCGCTAATAACTAAATGCACTTAAATTAAAAACAAGTTAAAACAAGTTAACCATAGAATGTACTGTTATCTTAACAAACTAATGAATTCAAAAAATATGTGAAAATCCACTATAATTAAACCCAACAGGTAAAGGCACAAAGCTCAGCTACACAAAGATATAGTGACTATTATCATAATGTGTATTATTATACATCTGTCACCGTAACGCCATATTAAAGTTACAACGTGCCGTAATTTTGTGGTATTTTACGGGGTATTTTCATCCTACCATATTAATAAAAGTGATTTCCAAATATTCAATGATTACGCGCATAAGCTTCCTCCTGACCGAACTCTATACAAAAAAGTTTGCTGCTTCTGTTCTACACTTTTTGGATTTCGGCATTTCCATGATGTATCTTTAGGAGGAAAAGATGTATATGCAGTGCGTTGGTCGATACTCCTGTTGTACTGTCATCGTGCATACTTGTCTGTATCCTCGTAATAACGTCATATTATATATCACCCCAACGTGGGTATGAGTAAGAATCAATTAGTATATTTTATAACTGCTAGAACTACCGCTGTAACTTTTGGCAGTAAACTTACCTGTCCACATTACTGTCATCCTCGTGTAAAGCAGTGATGAAGACAGGAGGTGGTGCATCAGCATTCTCTTTAAACGACGCAAACTCAAATGGAACGTAACGTAGAAATAGATGATACTCTTCAAAACCCATGTCAAAGGCATGTCTTTTGTAGAGTTTTGTAAGGATCTCAGTTTCCCAGGCCGCATCTATGAGTCTGTGTCGTAGAGTTATCGTGTCTAAAAGACGACAGAAGACATGTAGCAAATCCTCCTGTTTTTCTTTCTTATTACGTCTACTACCCCCTCCTTCATCTTTCGCCATGAAGAGTGATTTGCCGACTTCACATACGAATAACGGATCTTCTGAAAAGATGTCCGCAAAGAGCTGAAAATTACAGTGAAATAGAGCTATTACCCAATTATACCTTACTGGTACTACTAATTATCCTTGATTAGCAAATATGTGTCACTCATAAAGATAACCTTTTCACCACCAGACTTTTTCGTCTAAATTATACGGCACTTTTTTTTTTCTTAAATTCTTCAATATGTTAAATTATAAAAAATATAGAATTTCATTGTGTTATAAATATTTATAGCATATTGACTGAAAAATGGTTTATTTGTTAATTGTGTATTAACCTTTTCACCACCAGACTTTCTTACTCAAATATTGCAGCCCTTTTTTCTTATATTCTTCAATATTTCTGGAAATGAACCATAATTTTAGAGCCAACAGAAAAAATTTAAGTCAATTTTCAGTTTTTACTTAAAAAATTTGGCTATTTTTGTCCCAATGTTCTGAAGGAAAGTACAGAATATAAACAGGACTATTTTGTGATGAAAAGAAGGAAGTGGTGGTAAAAAGGTTAAAATGCTTCACAGAATGTGGTATATTATGTAAAGCAATGAGCAAACACATGAAGTGCAATGACTGTACAGACTTACATCTTTTTTCACTTGTTCTTGATAGCTGTTTCCCATTGTGTCTAGATTCTCCCATTGTTTCAGAGACACCTCCAAAAGTTTCTTTTCTAAACCAATACCTTCCGTGATAGATTTTGGTCTATGAGTGAAGTAGAGTTCCTGAAACAAAATGAACATTGCAATAATATAAACTGCTATATATGATGAATCAGGCAAAAAGACAACAAATTTCTTGTCAATTTCAATTCCAAAATCGATTTTATATTTAAAAGTTGGCATTAAAATTATGTTTTTATTTTGGCTCTTTCATTTTTATAAAATTTTTAACAAAACACCCAATAGCGTTCCAAAAATGTTACACTTATTTCAGTGGTAGTTCTTCAATGAATTTGCTACAACAGCATTTATTTAACTACTACTCGGTGTTACAGACTAAGGATAGAACACAAATGAAATAAAAATATAGATAGATAAGTATAAAAAACACTCTATCTCATAATATAAGATGTATACTGTATGTAGAAATACAGACAATACCGAAATTTTAATACATAAATTTATTATTTTAGTAAGTTTACAGTGAGAGTAACACCAATTTCACCATTTAATAAATATCATTGAACTTTCCCACCAGCATTTTTGTGCGTGCCTATATGTTTTTTTTCACAAAATTTGAAGCAAATAGACATAGAATTTTTTTAATTTTTCTTTAGGTGTATCCTGATATAGGATATTGTATTTTTTTTTATATTTACTCTTATCCTGAAATAAAGTTCAATAATGACAAGCAGTCTCTCGACTGAGATAGCTCCGCTGTTAGCAATGCACATTTCAATTAAAGAACTGAGGATATCATTAGAAAATGAACAATATGCATAGTATCAATGCAATGGGACTTGCTGTTTTCAACAAGAATTCAAAAATATCATTTTTCACCATAAATGATTGTGGTTTTTAACAAGAAGAAAATATCACTTTTTACCATAAAATGACAAAAATATTCATCAAAATTAGAGACTTGAAGATATCATCATGAAATGAACAAATTGAGAGTAGTCCATATGTAGTATCTATATATGTAATATCAAAGCAATTGGACTTGTCGTTTTTAACAAGAAGTCGAAAATATCACTTTTTACCAAAAATGACAAAAATATTCACCAAAATTAGAGAATTGAAGATATGATCATGAAACGAACAAATCTGAGAGAGGTCTACCCAAGGTACATATACACAAAGTATCAAAGCATTCAGGCTTGTGGTTTTCAAGAAGAAGTCGAAAAAGTAAAACATTGACACGGACGACGGACGACGGACGAGGACACCGGACAATCACTCATATGATAAGCTCCGCTCGACAAAGTCAACAGCGGGGCTAATAAAAAAAAATTAATAATATTAATAATGTCACATTGCCTAAAGATTTTGATCAGAATTTGAAAAGTTTTTTATTTTATTTTTATTTTTGGAAAAATGACATTCGATGATTTCAGAAGGTTGATGTTGTAATTTCAGTGCCAGAATTGTTAAGTTGTGATTAGCAGAGTAAGGCTTACAAAGTAGGCTTTATTTATTGCATGTGGTAATCTGCTGGCTATGGCTAAACATGGATGGAACTCCAACATATAGACATTCTTCAATGCTGGTCTGCAAAATAATAAAAACACAAATGTAAAAATAAATATGATTATTATTATGCATAAAAATGAATATTCATTTTTGAATAAATACTTTGTTGCCCAATACTCGTAGGTATTTACCATTTTATTAAAGTGACATTAGCTGTTATTTTGAACATTTGTTTGTTTAAATATATAACCACATAAAGGTTTTCAAATCTTGTCAAAATATAGTTTTAGACTCAACTGAATGGGCAAAGTGACTCTAACTCTAAGGCTAATGTCACATAAAATGTGATGTGAGGAATAAAGCAGTGGCTATTATGTTGAAATCAAACATAAGATGGAGACTGTAGACTATTATGGGAAACAACACATAAAATCAACAGTGAGAGGCTGTCAGAAAGAGGCTGTCAGAAAGAGGCTTTGCCTCTCAAGATTTTGCCCAGGTATCGTTTTGTACCATAATTGACAAAACTGGATTTCAAAAGAGGGCACCCTCTGGACACCTGTACACAATCCTGCACCCATTGTTTAAGCAATTTAATGAACAAGGTTGGTATATAGTGTATATGCTATGCTTTCAGTATTCATATTTCGGTGATGTCCATTACAATTGGCACTAATGATGGGTTTTTTTATTAAAAATAAAAATTCGAGAAATGGAGGTCGATAGTTAGTCTGAATTCAGTCTGTTTTCACTAAAACTGCAGCAACGAGTTTTTTATATTTTACTAGTAACTTTATACTTTTTATTTAATTTCTAGATGGTACTTTCTTTGCTGAGGTGTCTGAAACAAATTTACCTCAGAAAACAATGACTATGATTTCTGGTGACAGAAAACAACCTGATTACCCCTCAGATTATTCTTAAGATAAACATATAAGAAATCTCTGGAATAACAAACCCAAATACATATTACAAAAGATATATATGACATTGACTTTTAAAGTTATTATGATAATATGAATGAAACCTGTGCTTAAATCATGCAAAACAAACTTATTTTAATAATTCATGATTGTGCAATATCCTAAAGACTGAATGCTACATGCAACACGTGTTATAACTAAATTGCGTGAAGCAGCCATTTTGAACATGTTACTGAAGTTGGCGTCTGATTTATATTCGCTTTAAGTGTTGCATATTCACAGTAATGAGAATACTTGTGTAATATCAGATTACATATCACAGTACAGTTTATTCTATTTATAATGCAGTATTTTCATATTAGCAAGACTGAATCACAACTTCAAGAATCACGCAATATTTCACATTCTTGCGACTTCTCATGAGATCTTCATCTACCCCACTTGTAAGCCCTTAAGTTATCCGCCTTTGCTAAGATATAATACAGACTTGCTGTGATAAATGTGATTTCCATGGTTCTGTTTAAATCCATAACACAAAAACATTATAATACTGTGATCTTAACAATGCTTTAAAAAATTAACTTAACAAGTACAAACAAATTACATGAATCCAGCCATTTTTAGCCCAATGAGCTATTACAATGTTATCATGAATTTGGTGAGAACATACATGATATGTTGAATTGTGACTATAAGACCACACCAATATCTGCATGCAATTATCTGAGAGGTACACGTACGTGGTTTGTTTACTCTATGGCGTACTCACATGTGATACAACTTCCTGTCACGACCACTATCATAGTACAAATATGTGTAACTGTTGATCACAAATGATTAATTACAACAACCATACACAGTATAGCAATAGTACCGTGAAATCGGTATTAGAAGCCACATTCTTAATAGAAGTCGCACCGCACCCATTATTTTTGAACAATTGAGACCGAAAAATTCACCATTTCTCGTATGTGTAGATGCTCTAATAGAAGCCGCATCTTATCTGTTGCATTGTACCATTTTAATAGAAAACACGGCTTCTAATACAGATTTTACAGTACTTTGAAGCAATAATCTCATCTTTTAATTTGCAAAATACTTTAAACTGCTTATTTTCGTGAGACAAATTTTTTGGATGAAAACTGTAAAATTTTGTAGCGGTAAACGTTTCTCATGTATCAACAACTTTTTCACAAAATATTGTCATCACGAATTCTAATAAAGCCTGAAATTATGATAATAACTAGCAGTAAAATTGAATTGTTTACAGTGTATAATATCTTTATTAAAAAAATGTCCTTGACCCTTAAACTTTGAGTCAAGACTGAAAACAAAATAATTGATTTGTTATGATATGTTTTGAATTATTAATGATATTAAATATAATGGATGGTATAGAAAGCACACCAGCAGTATAATAATCTGAAAAAAAATAAAAAAATATCACATTTAATAAATAAATGCACAAAACCTACCTGCTTAAATTTAAATTGATTAACTGTTTAGGAATTATTTTGTGTGGAAGACCGAATTCTTCGTCACCGTCCCTGGTGACTTTATGTATGTACTCCCTTTGCTCTTCAATCTAAGAGGAAAAATGATTAAAAAAAAATAATTGATATGCAAAGACATTGACTTGTACCATAACTGATAAACCAAGTATTGATTATTAAAGTTATTTTGACGGCAAAAGTTTGTTGCAAGCTCATTCAATTTTGAACTTTACAGCATTCATGAAATATGAGACACAATCGCCTTATACATGTACATTGCTGTTGAAATTGTACTTCAGAAGTGCACCAAACTAACCTAGGGAACTGGTCACTGGTAGCATAGTAGTTGTCGCACCAGACTCATGATCGGTAGACCCAAGTTCAAATCCTACCGGTACCTTAGGCTGAACATCAAAGGGTCGACCCCTACCCTGGGTGAGTGTGCCCCAGAATGGGAAGGCCAATTTCACTGGTAGGGATTCATTCACTAACCAATGCAACTTTGGGAGAACCTTGGTTAAGGTCCGCAGGTGCTTGTGTTCGACCGAGCCAAGGATAGCGCAATAAATTGCCATTTGATAGGGAGATGGTCGCACAGCCCTGTCATCTAGTCCCAAACATTAATATGACTTCTGTGGCAAAATGCATTATGTGTCAGCACTAGCACTACCGCCGGTAGCACTTGCAATTTGCACATACAAAAAAAAAAAGTCAGGAGAGACAACAGTGACATTCAATGTCTGGAACTGTCACCTGGCACAAAAAAAAAAAAAATATGCTTGGAAGTGTGTATTGTTTGATGTATGACGCTGAGATAACACTAGTATCGGATAGTCATTCCATAAATTCAAAATTGAGAGAAATAAGCCTTCATGTGTTTTATTCAGGAGACAACTCTAGAATGTGATGTGCATCTCAGACTAGTATTAAATATTTATTTAATCATATAGTTCACATTTGATCGTCTAACAGATAATCCTGTGTGAGATTTGATGACACCATAAGATGCTGAAAACCACAACCACAACCGAAGATACGAAACTGATTGGTAATGTTTGGCTATTAGTAAGGAGAACATCTTGCAAACTCCATAACTGTTGTATTTATTACACTACACATATTAGGTACGCAACATTTCAAAGGCTTCAATGACAATACAAATTTAATAGTCAAATTGATATCATTAAAGTGATAGTATTTAGCAAAAATATGATTTTTTTTGAGGTAAAATGGAACGAAAATAGTGATAGGTAAGAGTAGATAGCGTTTGGGTGGCCAACTCCACTTATGGTTTTTTCACTGAGTAATGGTAATATTACAATTATAATATATTAAAACTATATTACATGATAATTTTTTGTAAACAAGTTTGTTATTATAATCATTACTATGCAAGTAACGTTTTAAGTTACAAAATTTGTTATTGAGCAAATATTATTATTTTGAAACCCTTTTCATATTCAGCTGTCCTAGATATACCATACATGCAACCAATAGCAGCTAAGCAGGCAATGTTGCTGTTTTGGTGTTCGGAACAATATGGCGATGACAGTAATATGTATATTTATAGAACACTGTAATTACAAAGACAAATTAAAGTAACTCCTCACCTGCTTATCTAAAATAGACTTGATGAGAGTGCAGTGCAGCCGGAGACAGACGCTTTCAGCTCTGTAAGTCTTGATAAAATAATCTGAAGCAAAATCAAAACGTGGTCTCTTGTGCATCAAATTAGTGATAACCTGGGCAAGCTTTCGCTTCTCATCCTTATCAAATACATTGTGGTAGGCTTCCAGATAGCAGTCAAGGAGCTAGAATAAAAACGAGGCATTATAATGGTAGAATGATCTTTACAAAAAAGAAAATACAGATCTGGTCTATGATGCTTGGCACTTAACTACATTGATATGATTCAGATTGTTCAAAGATGAAATTTGTCAAAAAAGTGTGATATATACAAAAACCGCACCTCTAATATATTTTTTATGTTTGATTGATAAGAGAAATATGATGAGCTTGTTACAATGTTTGCAACAAAAAACTGCCACATCAAAGAACTATTTAATACCAAAAAAGTGCAATAATTTTTGTTAAATATCAGTCCATTAAAAGTTTACTCAGAGCAGCCCTAATAGTGGTGATAAGTGAGTTTCTTCAGTTTTCATTTTTTTTTACAATTGCACAGCCTCTCACTGTTAAGTGGTACACATTTATCATTTCAACAGGACATATTAAAAATATTGTCATCTGTAATAAATATTTCAATTACTAGTAATAACACTGAATTTTGATTTACCTGCCGTTTGTTTTCCAGGAATGCTGCTTCATTTGTCCACAAATCCAGTAACACAGCAAATCTATCCACCTGTTGGTGACCATAGGCTGGCATACGAACCTCACCTGCTGGCTGACTCTAAAAATGTACATTGATTCATATTTTCATTTTTGTCACTATCCATGTGTTTTCAATTCATTGTTTGTTTTACACGAAATTAAATCGTGAAAATTCCTCGAAGTGAAAATTAAGCAGTATACAGTAATCAACCACAGAAAATATCGTTATTTTTTTTTTTATAAATTTTTTAAAAACCAGAATGAATAAATTTCATGGTACGTGTTAAAAGACAACGAAAAGATTATTTATTAATTATGCATCATACTTTATTTTGTATAAGCTGTCATAAAATGTGATAATTCCTACAGAGTTTCGACAGAAATGCTTGTCCTATTGAGTGTTTACATACCTGTCGTTTTCTTGCTGAATCCATTCTCCTTGTGCCTGAAAGGTTCTCCACATCACGATGGTCTTTATCTTTCTCTATGAAGTGTGTCGCTATCAGAAGTAAATCTCGCTCCAAGTCCCTACAAGAATGGACATCATATCAGGACAATTAATTTTAAAATTGTTATTTTGCACACAGGATTAATACCAAACAGAAACCATTATTCTTGCGGGCAGACATCCAACATCCCCGGCTGGCTACCATCACGATAAAAAACTTACAGAAAACTGTACTTTGGGATGGTTGTTAAGACTGCCCTGAACAAAGTAACAAGATTATCTATACATCCTCAGGATTACTTTAAATTTGAGTTTATGCTGGTGCTGTTTTTATTGACTCCTTAGAATTTCACAGCAGAGCCCATAGAAATGCATGGTAGTATTGGTACAGTGGTGCAGATCTTAGCAACTTTAAGTTACGTAGCCTTACCCTTGATACATGAAATACATGTACATGAAATAACTTTTTATATTAATGTTATTGATTGTTGCAATATTACATACATGATTCATAACTATAGTGGCTGCATAACTGTCAAACAGAAACAAGTTGAAAATTACACAAACAGTCAGACAAATGGACAGACACACATATGTTATTTCCTCCTGACTTGTGCTCTTGAACAATGGTGAACAAAATAAACACAGTTTTGTGAGAAACTTACTTTATATCTTGCAGTGCGGAATCATAAATGACATAGTATCCTTTCTGATCTTGGACATGAACTCTGCCTTCTTCCACCGTGTAGAAGTCATCGTGATTATCTATTTCCGAAAACTCCATAAACTCAGCTTCATTCACTCTATAGTTTAAACATTCACAGATTGTGAGATCAGAAAAATAAGTATGTTTAGTTTATTTTGCTGAGATTCAGTTGATCACATGACAAATCAAAATCAGTTGAGGGCGCACTCACTATAAAAACTATAATTTTACCAATCAATGTGTTTACATTTTTACATATTTTTCTAAAATTTCATTGTTAATTTTGGAACAAATGAACATAATTTCAATGCTTAATAATGCAAACATTGTGCAGGCTTATTTTATGAATTGTTATTAAAAATTATTTAAAGACACAGAATTTTATAATTCAGCTCAAATCAAATCAAATTCTTGTGTCAACAATTTGTTAGTTGCTGGTCTTTGTGATTTGGAATCCATGCAACAATAGTTCTTCACCATTTAAGAACTTTGCTGAAAATATCATATTATTTCTTATCATATACTTAGTATTGTCCGACCTTGTAGCACTATGGGAAGTGTGCCCACACATCACGGAAATAATTTCCCAAATCACTCCTTGTTTTTATCAATAAAAAAAAAAATGCATCATTCTAATTGACAATATGCGTTTGAGGTCACGCCGTGGTTAAATTGTAATTACCCGACCCACCCAACACCAACCCCACCCCCCACCCACGGTACATCTGTAAGGTGATATGATAAAACCTTTAGGGACTGGATACGGCTTTTCTTGCCTTCGGTCGTACCACTTACGCGCTACAAGACCTTGGACCGCAAAAGCTGTATCCAGTCTATACAAATTTATACATTAAAGTAGTAGACAAAAAATCACTTATATGACAACATGATTATTTTATAGACTGCTTGTAATATTAGTTAACTGACAGCCAACAAATTCGGGTACAGTAAAAATCAAGAAAACACAGATGGGAAACACTGTGTTTATGTTTATGTACTTATCAATGATCCTCTCACCTGAAGTCAGCTGGTGTGTAATGTAAATAATGATGTGAGCCGAGCCCACCACCGCCATCTTGGCTTCCTTCATAGACACCAACACGATGGTTCTGAGAACTGCAATTACACCAAACATTGTATATCAGATTACTTTGCGTAATACAATAGTATCACAAGACATTTACAACCTATTAAAATACACCAATCGAATGTGAATTCTTGGAAACGAAAATCTAGGCATTTTCACTGCCTGGTAACTAAAATCGGTGGAAACAAAACTATCAAAAAAATAAAATTTTGGGCTAGTTGTTGAGACTCTCCTGAACAATGTAACAAGATTACCCCTACATGTACAACACTGACAAGTTTCTAGTTCTGTCATGACCTAAGAAACTTGTGCATTCGGGTTTGCTTGATTTCACTGCATAAACATTTGATAGCTCATCAGAACACTGGCAACCAGCGAGGAAATTGCACAAGCTAGAAATCAATCCCCCATTCTTGCGCGAAAACCGACTGATGGCATTATAACTAGTAAAGAGGCATAGAATGAATTTTCAATTTTGTTGATGTGTTTTTGTTATTTCTTTGGACTTTTTTAAATTGCATATTACAAATGCAGCAAGTGCTGATGACATTATTATCACAGAGTTTATTAAGCACATTACCTTCGTTTCTGTTGATTACTTTCTAATGACAATCCCCCATCGTTGATAGTCAAAGTTCGCTCAAGAGATCGAAAGTAATTCAAAACACTCAGACACTGGAAATCAACATAAAATGGAAATGAAGTGTTTGTCCATTCAACATACTGAGTATAATACAACGTACATGTACATCATTGCAGACAAAAGACAAGCTTTATAGCTTTTTTTAAAAAACACCAAATACTTAGAATGTGTGAAGTAATCTGTGTAAATACATCACTCTCTTAGTCTTTACATACTTGCGCTATCATTAGGGCATGTGCTTATAAAATAAAAGTGGGGCATTTATTGTACAATAATTTTCAGTTAACACACTCTTCTAATAGAGCAAATACAGAAACATATCAGCGATTGTGATACAGTTTAAATATTCATATTCATTTGTATTTATATTCTAAGCTGTTGGCCTTATATACAAAAAAAGTTTTCTTTTATTTTTTTTTCTTCATTTGCAAATTGCTGACACACAGTGCATTTTTGCCACAGAAGCTATATTCATGTTTGGGACTACCTGACAGGCAAGTGGAGTTGGCCTTTTCATTGGGTCTGTGGCACACTCACCCAGGGTAGGGATCAACTCTTTTTAGAGTTGAACTGGTCAACAGGTACAACAAAAAGTTCACAAAAATAAAAGAATGATCAAGCCATCTTTAGTCAACATTGGAAATAATATTGTCTTATAATTTGAAACCATAGAATTTGATAAAAATAGAAAAACAAAAGGTTATGAGAATTTAAAAGTGAGATAAATTTTATAAATAATGAGTATTTGTTATACATGTAGTAATAATTGTGACTCAGAACAAATTGTTCTCTATGCTATGAAAACGTTTCTTTGATTGTTACATCATCTATAAATTAACACACTTTCTTTTGTAATGACAATGTAGTGTTTGTTGAAGACATAAAATACTTACAGTTCTTTGTAAATCCTTAATTCTTAGATGTCTTAAACTGAGTAATGACAAATAGCCTCCTTGTACCATTGTAGGATCTTGATTGCCGTCGTCATCCTCATCCAATCCTAACATTTGCATTGCGTTAAAATAATCATATTCGTCACTGTCTTTACGCTTTCTACTGCGGGCGCTACCGGCACGTGATGAACGTCCGTTGAAGCTGACATTGTCAGTGTCTTTTTCGTCAAAATCTACCACGGCTAGGTCATCAGCCTTGGATGATCTGTAAGAGAGAATCCGAGTCAGAATGCAAGATTATAATAAAGTAAACATGAAATATATTCACAAGAATAATTTTGTGTAATTTTGCATTTCTAACCTGCTTGGGATGGAGGTAAAATTTGCATAATTGTGAAATCAATACATGGATAAAAAGCTACTCTCATGTCCCAAATAAACATACCTGTACGTTTATTTTGTTCCTGAAAATTCCACTCCGTACGTTCTTATTTAGGACAGTACGTTTAGTTTTAGTTTTAAATCGAGTGAAAAAAAAATTCAGAAGGCAAAACAAAATACAATCTTTGATGTGAAGATGTTTTCTGGGGGGTACAGTTGTATGTTTATTACAGGAGGTATGTTTATTAGATTTTGAGGATTTGTTCGGGAGGTATGTTTATTTGGGACATAAGAGTACTGCATGATTTTCTTTCACAGGCAGGAAATACATTAAACATGACAGATTTTGAGTGATGTACAAAATAACTCTGTGATTCTGATCAACTGGTATATTTCAAGAGGTATATATAATCCATTAAACAATTCTGTCAGACTCACCCATCATACAATTCACTATTTAAATAAATCTTTCTCCATATAGCGGTAGTATTTAACGAATCAACTGTTCTATGTGATGTCACTGATATTGGCTGTGCTGTTGGTGGGTCGCGAACCGCCACGGCGTGGTCCTTTAACGCCTCTTGTACTTTCTAATATAAAAAGAATTGTGAAATGTAATGAATAACCAGACACTGCAAGATCTTGCACAATGCGTGAAATGTGTGGACCAAACATTCGGTGTAAAATTAAATGATGAATTTTGTTATATAATTTGTGTCTATAGTTCATTGTCAAAATGCTCAGAGGGGAATATGGCATTGATACTCAGCAAAATTTACCACCATCAAATATGTATAGTACATTATTAAGTTCAGAAATGACCAAAAAATAGTTTCTCGTCTTCCATATGAAGTGTTTACGTCACTACGACGCTATGACCTTTGTTTGTTCTGTTTTTATGTTAGATTTCACAGATAAAGAGGGATCTCACTGTGAACGGGAAAATTATTTATTTGAATACAGTACCGGAGTAATGTAGCAAAATTCTGTGGCAGAACAATGAGGTAAATCAGAACCAAAGAAGAGAAAGCTGAATACTGCCACCATCATATAGACACTGAATTGCACAGTGTCAATAGCAAAACTATTCTTAAGCCGATACTAATACTTGGCACTGCCTAAAAACAAAGTAAATTTCTAAAAAACTTTACAAACTCCAACTGCTTTTGTTCATTCTGTCTACCAATTATAGCTGTCATAATAATCCAGCCATGTATACATCAATTGTATGTTATCTATACATGTACTTACTACAGGGTCATTTACAGTTAGAAATCTGGACTGAGCTTTCAACAGCTGGTCAATGTTATTTTTCTTTCTAAGTCTGGTCAACATCTTCTCTTGGTACGGGTCACGTTCTGGTCTAAAATGATCACAGAATATAAAATATAACTAACATGATAGAGGAAAAATACAATGTTGTATATCAGCAGACAAAACACATGAACAGAATAAAATGATTTGTCTTTTCCTTTTGGCAGTTAGTTTATTTAACATACTAATAATATTTGGGATGAATTCAACACGAGAACTGGTTTGCAAGTGATAGCTCCCTCAATGGCAAATTTACATTTCCTAATTGCTTTTGTTTTTTTATGAACTGTTTATGATTATATCTCATAACACATGGTAGGTCAACTTTTGTAGATTATTATATGGAAGGTGGTTTAAAAAATTATTTCATGTTAAAACCATCTGTACCTGATATAGAACTACTAGTATTATATGCAGTATATCCAAGATGGCAGATAAAGTTCATAGTAAGATAGTTTCAAGAATGTTATTATCTTGAATGGGAAGATGTATATTTAACACACTAATAATATTCGGGATGAATTCAACACAAGAACTGGTTTCCAAGTGATAGCTCCCTCAATGGCAAATTTTCATTTCCTAATTGCTTTTGTTTTTTTATGAACAGTTTATGATTGTATCTCATAATGCATGGTAGGTACTACTCTCACTGTAGCCATGGTTACTAAAACCGTGCTGTAGCTGTCACGTGCATACTTTGCAGTATCCACGTAATAACCTCGTTTTTTTAAACTGAATTACATAAAGAGAGTCAGAGACGTGTAGACTTACTTGATTTTGATAAATGGCAGCCAATTAGATTCCTTCTTTAGTGATTTATTAGGTCCATCTGCACCCCATGTCTCAAGACCCATCTAAAATAAACAGATAATATTCATCATCAGAGGAATACATGTGTCACCATCGCTACTATACTTGGTGATAAAGTAAAAACATGATTAAGTAGGATTTTTATATGATACTTGGTTAATACAACTAACTGGGGACTTTAGGCAAGGTGCAAATGAGTTTGAACTAAATCGAATTACACAAGTGTATTAAATCTAAGACTTGTTTTTTTTAAAGATACCATGCTTATCTATCACATAGGGATGGTAATAATTACCATCTTTTTTGAGATACAACGTTACAAATTTTTTTTATCAATATAATTTTTCAAACCAATTATGTGAATACTGATAAATTATAAATTATTTCCAGGTATGTCTCAAGGTGGTTAAGAAAGTTACTTTTATGAATTCTAAAATTATAATGATACTAAGATATTCAATTATTCTATTGCCAACATAATATGGTTCATCCTCTGTTCCATAAATTTTTCATTTTACTATAACTTGTTATACTTATTTTGAATCAAATGAACATAATTTCCAATAATCTATAGTTTTTAATCCAAATAAAAAAAAAATATGGAAAAAATTGCACACATTTCTTTGAAAAAGTTGAATCTAACAGTGAAGCAGTTAAAACCCAATATACTTGAATATCTGTATTTATCTAAACACCTGGTGTTGATTGATAATCTTTTCAATAAGTGATGACAAATTAGATGGGACTAAAAGGATTTGAATAATTGATGTTTAATTGTATACGAATGATGATAAATATACCAAACATATTGTGCCATGCAAATAGCTTTTCATACAACACAAATCAACAAGCAAGTTTTTTTAATGAAACGTGCATAGAAACAAACGAAGCAAAAAATTTAATTTTAATACAAAAATTACCAAGAAACAAAACTTTACTGAAAAAGAACCAGAAAAAAGAAGTTACTGTTATGAAGGTGTACAAGTGTTTATCAAGGACAATGGGTTACTGTAAAATACTTTATTATTCACTTGGGCCTTATTTTTGCTGTAGAGATGATTCAGTGAAAATAAAATCCAGCAGATATACAATTTTTCCCTATATTTTACTTTCATACAAAACACCCAAAAAGTCTTTTCACCAAAAATGTTATTCCAGCTATAAAAATAAAGTATTTTACAGTAAGTAAATTTAGATTATTGACCCAGTTTTATTTGTAAGATGCATGTACAGTGTATGGAATGATTTTGAAATGATTAGATTAATAAAGTAATCAAATAATATCAAAATGATTAATTGGATTAATAAAGTAAATCAAATAATAATGTTGCAGGTGTGTTATACAATCAAATGCATAGGCAAGACCTAGGTTGCGGGATGTTGTCGATATAAAATTGAATAATACATACATATGATTCAAGTGAGTACTTTTGACTACTTTAGCAGGTGTAAAGAAGATTTGTATGGTGAGTTAGCAAACTCCCTAGAAAAGTCCCTATGAACATTGTACTATAGCAAGGGACTTTTTTATTAGCGTTATCAAATGATTTATTCACTACATTTTGTGACAATCACACTTTCCCTGATGTCACTTGATATAAGTAATTTTTGTCTACTAGTAGATACGTACTATGGCCAAGTTGTCTGTTTTCATGGTTCAACATTGTTGTAACTATACAAAGGAAGTTACAAATCTAATTAGCAGCCACTTCAACCGTCTTAGGAAAGTTTATGGGGTTATTGAGCTATTGATAATGACTATCTCAGGAAAGTTGCAAGGTACACATACAAATCTTGTTTGCGTCCAGTGTAAATCTAGTAAAGCCATCAATCCAAATTATCAAAGTTTCCCAGATTAAATTAGTACATCTCCTCATATAAACCAACAACTTGACTGTTGTATTGCACCAGTAACACCTATGGTAGCATTGATAATGTGCTACTAACAGAGAAATCAGTGCAGACAACGTGATAGTATAATATACTGTAGAATACTTTATTTTAGCTGGAATTAATTTTCGCTGAAAAGGCTTTTTGGGTGTTTTGTTTGGAATTTATTTTCACTGATTTTTGACAAGTTGAATGTGAAATATAGGAAAAAAAGTATATTCACTGGATTTTATTTACACTGAAGCATTTCAGCGAAAATAGCGAAAATAAATTCCATCCAAGCGAAAATAAAGTATTCTACAGTATATTTGGCTTGTTGGGTAGTACATGATAATATACATGTATGTAGTATGGGTGCATGATGTGGGGCAGTAGGGGGCCATTAGTGGAAGATATCCCAATATAGTAAAGCAAAGAGAGTAAAATAAACATACAAATAAATGAAATGTTACATTTAACAACAAGACATGCACATATCAGGCACACATGCAATATGCACTTACCAAAATCTGGTTAGTAGTGACAGAAATAAATGTTAAGATAATATGGATTAACTGTGCTAGTAATCACTGTGCAGGTATGAAATCATGCTGGTTTTGACGATTTAACATCACACATAATTGTTACACATCATATGCAAATGAGAATCAGAGACTTCATGTTTCTGTGTATCGGTAATATCAAGTGGCATAGCTAGACAAATGATGATTACATTATATAACTGACAATTATTTGTCAGTTTAATGACAATCCAGGTTCGATGGATGTTCATGTAACACTTTCACTTGATGACAGTATGGTATTATATCACAAATATATTGTAAAAACTTTGAAATAGACTAATGCATTTGGCTCAATTCAGCAAATCATGAATTACTAGTAGTGAAAATTGAGGATACCCTAAAAACCCTTCAATTCATAATATTCTAAGATAGGTATAAAATTGTATTCATATAATTCTCAGTGTGACATCATTTATGGCGAGAGAATAACAAAAATAAATAAAACTTGTTGTCATATTAGGGTCATATTTATTAAATTATGTTTACCATTGTCTTGCCATGAATAATTCCCCGGTGATCACAGTCCAAGATCACAGTACCAGTGACGATTTCACCAAAATATGAACTTTCTTTTTTACTAACTGCACATTACCGTAAGTGAGTTTTTTTTTGTTAACTGGAAAACATGTTCTACAGTATATAAACACCAATTTGACACAAATTTAGAGTACCGGTAAACAAGACAGTATCTTGGAGATCTTTTTTTATGGAAACCACCTACTATTAATGTAGTCAATTTTGAACAAGGTGTAAGACTTTCCGACGTAAACCATACACGGCCCGTCAACCCGACACCAATTGCATTCATAATTAATTAGTAATTAAGCCAATTTGAATTACAACTTAATCAATTATTATATGAATTGTTATTTATTATTGCATGAAATAAATGTTTATTATAAATAAAGTCATGTGTAAGTGTTAATGAACTGAATAACAATAATATATTAGTGTTCAACAAGAAACGGTGAACAAGTTTTCATGACACAACATTTTTATAAGTCACATGTAATCAAAGGTTATAGATGAATTTATCACAAGATAAAATTTTCATTTCTACACATACATGCATCCAGCAATTAATGAACATTTGAATGCTTAGTACTGACAAACTCCAGATTTAATCTGCACCAGTTCATTGTGTGTGTCAGTGTGTGTGAGGGGGGATTGAAATCGCCATGAGTAAAAGTACAAAGAATTAGAATTAAATTACATGTTACTTACTTCAATTTTATCATAGGTAGGAAAGGTTCTTTGCTGTTCTTGTTTGGCAAAACATGTTCTGAATTTTCTATTGACATTTGCTACAAGCTCCATCTCATCCGCTGAGGTCACAATTTGATTGATATCCTAACAAAAGGCAAAAATAATAAAATATGTACAATAACTTTTGATTACTGACCAAATTCTGTTTCAATATTAACATAAATGAACAAATCGAACCATATCATAACAAGATATCAGTTGGTAACAGATTTCAGTGGAAATGTAGCAGATTACACTATTTGAAAGGTACAAGCTTCTAAGGAAAACAAAACAACACAATGTATATTTCTGGGTATTAAATTTTCCTGAAAGTGATTCAGAAACATTTAATAATACATTCTTATCATGAAATTGCTACTAAGACCCAATTGTTGTAATCACTTTTTGAAAATAAAATAATAATTTTTAAATACCAAATAGCAACCAGAATGTGTGGTAACATTTAGGTTTATTAGCAATGGACCAATCGGCGGTTTATGTGAGTGTAAATCATCTTTAACGACCGACAGACGTTTAGCTCTCACTAAGGCATCATTGTATTCTGCCATGATCAGGCTGGTGAGAGCAATAATATATACATAACTCGTTTTTATTGGCATTTTGTCATTTTCTGCAAAATATCATAATTTTATGTGTAATTTTTCATAAAAAACACAAGTACAATTAGCTTCAATGAGATAAATATTTGTAGACATTTGTTATCCAAACTTTCTCACACCAAACCGGATCTTCTCTGTAACCCTTCTTTGTGAAACATGTAACTACAACCATAAAAATTAGGCACGGTTTTTAGTCCTGTATGTCTATCCTTTGACCCATGTGTATCACCATAGTAACTGAACCATAAGAATTTAGTAAACTGACATACCATAGTGATTCCATAGCAAGTCATTAAGAATTCTAGTAACGGTTTAAAGCCTTCCATATCTGCCACATGTTCTGGTATACCTTGTGTTGCTTCGTTGGATGCCAGCCCACCTCCTAATAACATATAGTTTAGGTTGCAGTTAAAATAAACAAGTCATAACATATACTATACAATAAATTGTAGAAAGTAGCACATATAATATGGGGGTAACTTGCATCAATTAATCCAAAAACAATTTCATAACAAAATGACTGATACGTTAACAGAACAGCATGAATGCTTGTAGGGAAAGAATGAAAAGTTTGATCACACAAACAGAAAGGGCTGGGATCATCATCTTTTTAACTTGCTTACATTTACAAAATTAAATTCAAATGAATTAATATTCTACAATAGTGATTTTGTGGTCATGCAGTCATGGAATTTTCAACGTACAAATATTGTAATTAAGTAACAATTTACCTGCAGCTGCACGTACACCGCTAGCGACACTAGTTGGTACAGTGTGCATACTGAGTAAATTTACTGATGCTGACATTGGCCCGGTAAACCCAGACGTAGCAGCCGACCCTGGTCTAGATGTCCTGGACGTCAGCAAATTGTCACCGAACGGCGTCTTTCTGGCAGAGTCTCCTCTACTGTAGAAACTGCGGCTAGTATCCGGCGAATCCCTTTTGATGTCTTCCTCTTTACTGTCTTCATCTTGACTTGGAGTATGAGGTACTATATCATATTTATGAGTATTGGGAAGCCATTCTAGAGTCTGTGCACAAAATAGAAAATGTTTAATGATACACCCTGAGTGGACTGCATGGGGTTATAGATCAGAAAACTAATTACTATTGCTATAGATTTGAAACCCATCACCTGGCAGTACTAAGAGAAGTTATATAGTCTCACAGTAGTTCAGTAAGGGTTCAATAAGCTTTATTGACTTTCATCGTCATCATCAAATATATCACATATTTTATTGAAACCTGGCATTTCTATTTCAAGTTTATTTGAGTTAAAAATCCCAAAAATAAAAATATGATTTTAATAAAATTTACACTGATAATTAATCAATAAATGCATTTATAAGTGCTTGTATCAAATATGAAATACAGTAATGTTCAGTGAAGATACAGAAAAAAAACATTCAAAACACTTTGAATAACATGCTTCTCATATATTAACATTGTAAATGTTGGTAGGATGTGTTCACATTTTAAAAACACAGATGTGATCATTGTCATTTGAATACTACCATAAAATCTGTATTAGAAGCCGCATCCCTAATAGAAGTCACACCCATTCTTTTTGAATAATTGAGAATCTAAAATTCACCATTTCTCGTATGTGTAGATGCTCTAATAGAAGCCGCATTCCTTCTGTTGCATTGTACCATTTTAATAGAAGCCGCGGCTTCTAATACAGATTTTACAGTATATCCAATAAATTTGGAGATAATTCAATTTTATTGTCAGGTTGAGGGCCTGATCCAACCACATGCGACGACGTTTTGATTATGTACTAAAGTATACACTGTAATTTAATAAGGAAAGCATCTTTTTTGCTGCATTGGAATGAGAAATTCACTGTTCATACATTTCAACAAATAATTTTATTGAAAAGCAAAATAAAATTGCGACTGG